TAACCCCTAACAGTCACTCTGGTAAAATGTCTTCTGAGGCCACACCAATTTAATTTGCTGGTTCTCGGATTCGCCTCTTCGTTTTTTTCTGATTTGCAAAAAAAAAAAATTTATTCTGGTCCTGAATCAACTGAAAAATGCTCATATTTTGCCCCCAACAGTTGAGGAAAGTCCTTTTCTTCCTAGTTGTTACAGTTTTCCCATCTATCATTGCAGTGTTTTGATTAAAAGTTCAAAATTCAATGTTTAAATTTCAACCCAGCCTTTTGTGTTGACTTCATGGCTCATTTTGTAGCAATTAAGCCTATAATAGGATGCCTAGACCTGTTTTTATTTTTTTTCGCCCTGTCGCTTCATATTTTTTCTGAAAAAATCCGAGAACCAACAAATTGAATTGGTGTGGCCCAGGTATTTGATATATGGAGGCCAGTGAAACTCAAGCTTTGCTTCAGAATATTTCCTTTCAGGATTGATATTCATATCATAAATTTCTCAGAGATAATATGATATTAATGCAAAATTTATTATCTGTAGCAATCTAGGTTGGTTAGTTCATTTGCAAAAACAAAAAACTAAAATTCACAAGTTTTTTTATTGTTTTTTTTTTAAATTTAAGATAGTCTTTTTCTGTCCAATAATAAGGAGACGACAAATTTACATTTGACAGTACATATATCATTTATGGCATTTTATTTGTGAGAATTTTTAAGTTAAAATTTCTTAGTTATAGCTTTAGTGAGATATTTCAATATTATGGTTTCTTTTCCCTTTGCTTTAAAAATTGTACACACTTCATATATCATGATAAAACTGAGACTGACATAATTTCATTCTGAATAATAAATATGATCAGATTCTATTTAAAGCATAGACACCTACATCAGACAAATTCCAATGATTAAACATAACCCCTAACAGTCACTCGGGTAAAATGTCTTCTGACATCGTAATTACAAGATGTGCCATTGTGGCCGGCAAGTGTCAATAAACTTTACTTACAGGAATGAGACAAAAGCCGAGGGTGTCAAATCTACTCAGACCCAGGAATAATCAAACAAGGACTGACTTCGCATGACAATTAGAATACCTGGGCTCAAAATACATATTTCTATTACCTGCAAAATTGCAAGTTGTCAGAAATACATGTACTTTCTCTTAATTCTTAGTATAGTAGGATTTTGACAACAGAAACGAAGATATTCTGGCATACAAAATCTTCATGTTTTTGACATTTTATCACATCTGTATCATCAGTAAATATTTTCTGCATTTTTTTTTCAAACTGAGCAAAAACTAACTGACCCATGGTCCCCCAAATTTCTGGTGGTACCAATAAATATACATTTTACAGTAGCTGGATATTAACAATACTATAGACTTTCTCACAGAAATGATATACAACTGAATTGAGCACCCTTAAAAACTTGAGCGATTGTTTAAAGAATGTTGAAAAGGTATTTTACTATATTTTACAAAATTTAATTTACTTTATTTTGTAAGCTTTCGTATTAGGAAATAATATCACACAGTCCAATATGACTTAATGAAGATTACTGGTTACCAGTATCCTATTAATTTATAAAAACGTATAATTTTGTGCACATTTGCTATATTTAGATGTCACAAATTATTTAGCATCTTTGGTACCACTAGTGGTGTCTCTAGGTAACCAACCGCCACCCAGGTTACGTAAGATGATACCTTGCCATGATAATAAGGTTTGACCTTGCCAAATGACCTTCATACCCAATGCAATCCCCAACAAGTCTAAACGATTAATCATATTAAAATGTCTGGAAACCATCCTCACTTCAACATAGCCTTCAAGGCAAAACATCAGTAAACACCTACAATCTATACAGAGTCATAATATCATTGTTTTCTGTATATTAAGTAAATATTGAAGAGTAAACAACAACAAAATATGGTAAGTTAAACCAAGAGTTGTATTCTTACCCACCTCCACCCATGCTTGGTACCAACACTACCACAGATGTATCCACAGAAACAGCAACAAGCTTCTCTTCTCTGCATATTAAACTCAGCTGCTGCAAATGTTTCCTTTACAGGTTTAGGTACAACAGTCCCAGGGAACCCAATAGGACCACGGAGCCAGGAGAATACTAGCCTAGCCTGGTCCCCAGACTCTCCCAAGGCTGCAAACTGGGATTTCTCTAGCCTGGGTCTCAGACTCTCAGGCTCTCCCAGGGCTACTTCACCTGGTTTTGCTTGGCATTGTAAGCTACATGTAACCTATGCCTGCCTAGCTACATGTACATGAGTCTATCTTATGATTTTGCCTGCTAGTTAGTAAGGAACCTTTAAAGAGATATGGCAAACTTTCTTTGGGGTATGTTGGCCTGAGGGACAATAATCTGGCCTTTGTGGGACCTGGGAACAGCCTGGTTTCCAACACGTTGGCAGAACGTACTGCACCTGCGCGAAATCCGTAATATATTGTGCATATATATATAAGCAATTCCGCAGAATGTCCCATATAAGGTTGTATTCGCGCATATAAGGTTAACATCCCATCTGTAGTTTCCAAATGTTATGTCGGAAAAAATATTGTCTGCAACATGCAAAATTAAATGCAACGTTGATCAAAAATCCAACAAAAACTGTGAAAAATCCGGATTCTGCGCAGGCGCAGTACATTCTGCCGACGTGCTCTGGTTTCCAGGCTATGGCGAACCCTTGCTCATTAAGCATGCGGAGGATGTACCAAATCCATTGGGTTCCTATAGCACAGATGGACCAATCAATTAACCCCTTCTGGAACTCATGACATTGACGAAATTACCCCTAGTAATACTAATAAACCAACAACAGGAACACTAACGGTAGCTTCAAAATTTCTAACGTTACTTTACACTTTATTCTACCATAAAAGTCTTACGATATAATAATAGACACTAAGGATAAAAAGGAATTCATAATTATCATAGCTATGAGGAATTGACGACATGTTGAAGTCTGGTTGGAAAGTGCACCAATCAATCAAGCTTTTACATCCATGCATATCCTGGCCCATGTTGTTACTGCCTGTTAAAGTAACAAGGGCACTGATTGGCTGTTGCCCTTAGTTCAGGGTCCTGAGGGCTTAAAATGCTTACAGTAAATCTGGTAATTATGTTTACCAAAGGAAAATATATTGTTTTTTCTCAGTTTCTTCTTCTTCTCCAAACAGTAACCTCTGACCTGGTCAATGACCTGAACCAGACCCTCTCTCACCATGGTAACTGGTATTGGGTTACATTATGTTGCAATTTTATAGTAGGAGGGATTTAGACTCCTGTCACCATATGTGTGAATGTGTTTGAGTGAGAATTAACAGAGCAGACCATATGCGAAGGTAAACATTATGCATTTGCTTTGCAAATGTTACTTTTCTAGTTTTCAAAATCATTTATACCAGACAGGTTTTACCTGCACCACTCATCATTTTCTTTCTCTGTCAGTTCTTTAAAAAACACTGCTTTGAAATATTTCTATTGTTGTTCTATTGTTGAGTTCTTTTCTTCCTAGTTGTTACAGTTTTTACCATCTATCAATACAGTGGTTTGATCAAAAGTTCAAAATTCATTGTTTAAATATTAACCAAGCCTTTTGAGTTGACTTCATGTCTCCCTTCGTAGCATTTTGGGCTGTAATAGGATGCCTAGACCTGTTTTATTTTTATTTTTTTTCGCCCTGTCGCTTCATACTAGTATTTTTTCTGAAAAAATCCAAGAACCAACAAATTAAATTGGTTTGGCCTTATGAGGTTATGCAGCAGAGAGAAGGTTAACGTTATTCTTGTCTGCTGCTAAAATGACTTATTGCAGTACTTTCAGCTATGGCTTATGATCCATCGACAAATTGGGTAGCTGACTGCCAAGCTTACGGTGAGGTTAGGAGTAGCTTTTAGATATATTACAGAAGTATTGTACTTGTCATGTGCATTTGCAGAGGGAGTATTGAACTAAATGTCACCCTACGTGTACGTGTACGTGTGCACACATATTCAGAAATATGCACAAATGCCATCAGTGGTTAGCTTCATGTCACATGTTATCTGGTTGACTGTCGGTTGTACCCTGTCTCACGAGGGTTAGACGTGCTTGCACTTCAGATAAGCTGGTTTTATGTATTTTATATTCATTGAATGTGACCTTATCCTTATCATTACCAACATCTTTCTTTGATTTTTTTAAATTCTAGCTCACACATTTAAAAATAGCCTACTATAGCACATCCTCCTAAGCCCAAAAGGTATCTCACACACACACATGAACCCAAAACATAACCTTTTCTTCTCAGTGTCAAGGTAAAAAATAATCTGGCATTCCTTAATGAAGTAAGTGACTGTCAGCTTCCTGAATTCCCCCAGTAAAGCTCTAATTTCTAGTAGCTCCCTGGCCAGATTTTTAGATTTTTGACCTGTCAATCTTCCCCAACCCACATGCTGTCAACCTACTGTCAGGACTAACAGCCACACAGACCCACAAGTACCATAGATCCATTCACGACTAAGTTCCTATGCTATCCATACACACACACACACACACACACACACACACAAAAACCCAAAACATAACCTTCACATTCTCAGTGAATGTAAAAATTAAAAAAAATTGAACTGTTTGCAACATGAATGCAAAGATTGAAGTCAAAAACAATTACCAAACAAAAACGCACACATAGACCCAAAACACAACCCTTCCTATAACATCTGTGTCCATAATATCACCAGGGTCCATATGTAATATCGCCACCTTTAGAAATAGTGTGCTTTAAGATATTTTTACTGCAACATACCCTAGGTATGTACATTTGACGTGTGAAGAAGTGCATACCAAAAGTATGTTGCAGTAAAAATATCTTTAAGCACATTGTTTCTCAAGGTGGCGATATTATGGACACAGATGTTACCAAACAAAAAATGCACAAATGGACCCAAAAGACAACCCTTCCTATACTGAGTGACTGTACAAACGTGATATTTGTGCTGTTCTCACCGTGAATGCAGAGTTCGGAGTCCTTGTTGATCTCGTACAGCCTGATGGCCTCGTCTAGCTCCTCCTGAGATGAGATGGTACAGGGGTCACCTGGGGGAGACAACAGGGTCAGGTCATACTGTAATTCACATTATGTTCACTGTAGCAAAATTTCACAGTCTGAGAAAAATGGACATGTTCATGGAACTATATATTCATGGTGGTGACAGGTGCAGGAAAAAGAAAGTCCTGAATTGTTTGTTAACTGTAATGATAAGTTCTCGGAACAGAAGTGACAGTGAAAACAGTGAATCTAAAGTATAGAAAAAAAAAATCAGGAATTACAGTACATGAGATACAACAGGAACATACACAGGGCTGGAAATTTTTAGTGCACAATCTTATTGAGCAATGCCTCCAAAGTTAAAGCTCTCAGAAATGTATGTAGAAAGATCAGATAGATCTATATTAAAGTTGGGCGGTATCACAAGGGTCTGGATCAGCTCCAAATTGCCCCCAACTTATGTGACCTAAATATTTATACATATCCCAGGTGACGCCATAAATAAGACTGTAAGTTAGGGTATAGAATATTCTTCTTACACAACCATAGAGTTTCTCACCTGACTGGAGTTCCGCAACTCGCCGCTATTTAAATAGCGGTGAGTTGCAGAACTCCAGTCAGAAGCTCTGAGGAAGGTGTCTGATAGACATCGAAACGTAAGCAGGTGAGAAACTCTATGGTTGTGTAAGAAGAAAATTCTATACCCTAAGTATCTTCCAACCTGATGAAATTATTTACGGAAGACTGTAAGTTATATTTTCTGTATGTTAATGATGGAAAACCAGAATTGTACAATGTTTCAGCACTCAGGTGTCAGATCATGGAACTAGAAAAGCTTGATCAGCCCCCCAAAAAAGGTATGTCCCATTCAGGGGTCCACACAAAAGACTAGGGTCGGCAGCTTTTTCTAGGATTGGTTGGGAAACAGGAAACACAATATTTTTTTCCTAGGCCTTTCCTACTCTTTTCGATAAGTGTGGTGGGTTCTTTATACCGTGCTTCTTAAACATGGGACAGACATTTCATGCATTTTCCAAGGGACTAACCAAAGCTAGGTAGTAGTAACTTTGGGCCCTTCTTCAATGGAAGGTATTTCAGCACCAAGGAGGTACCTTTTAGATACTCAAGTAGCAAGCAATGTTCTAGCCAGGCCACTTAATTTGTAGTTTCTTCTCATTGTCAATCAGTCTTAATTATCTCCGTACGTTAATGACCCAAGTAATGTTTGGCCTTTAACCCAGAAGCCCTACCTTGCAGGTGTAATTTGATGAGTGGTGGCATTTCCGGGAGAAAAAGGATGACTTTCAGGAACAAATTGGGCACCTCGTGGGTCATTAGACCAGCCAAGGCCCTTTCCATTGATTTAACCATATATCCACTGGGAGATGACCTAGATTTTGCTGGGGTTATCAAGCTTTAAGGTGGAGCTCAGTAGTTTAAGCTCTAAATCATGGCCACAGTACTGCGCCAGGGCTCGAAATGTTCTGGTCATGTGGTGTAATGGTTAGGGTGTTTGGTCTAGATTTTTTATCTGGGTTTCTTTTTTGCACTTGATGAATTTTTCTGCAAGTTATTTGATCCAACCAACTATATAATGTCCTTGGTCCAACTAAGAAAGAATTAGACCATTTCATCATTCTGATGCACCCCACAGCCAAGGACCTGTAACCCCTTGAATACCCTGCCTGTTGATACAAAAAGCTGGCAAAATAGAATTCAAAGCTACATTAAAACCCCGACCTACATGTATAAAAAGATGCCTGAAACAAGCATCTGCTTGGAGAGTATCCATTGTCCCTTTCTCTAAGTTATTAATGGTCCAACTAAGAAAGAATTGGACCATTTCAGATGCACCCCACAGCCAAGGACCCGTAACCCCCTGACTACCCTGCCTGATGATCCGAGTAACCTAATTTCTATCAATGGCAGATCCCAGGTGCCTCATCAGGTGAGTATTGTCTGTTCCTGACAAGAAAAAAAATGGGGCTGTCTGTTGTTGTTAGAACTTAAATATATCAGTGTACTACTTTTTACTGTTGATATAAATGCATCTCTATCTTATTCTTGATTGAGCATATCCAAAATGTACATTTTATGTAGCTTCTTCCTTGGCTTATGATTATATTTCAAATGTTTCAAGTATTCAAATGAATACCGCGGATCGGATCTCCCTTCGACCTTCTGTCGTCAGGCGATCTGACGCGCGGTCAAGCTGGAACCTCGGGCGATACGGAATACCCCGTGTAGTATTCTATATATACAGTAGGGACTACCAGACAATTCATGACCATGACAGTTATGCCTCATTAGTAGTACATGTAATTAATCCTAACAGGGTACACTGGCTAATTAGGTAACGAACCATAAATGTCAGGCTAGTCAAATTGACTCAATTTTGATTGCAGTCCTGTGACTATGCAGGGCTTGAAATACCTTTTTTTCTGTACGTACACATTTGTACATACCTGCACCTACTGTCTAGTGCAAGTAACATTCAAAATCACCTGCACCAGACAAATTTTATCTGCACCACTCAGAATCAGAAATACCTGCACAGCTCCAATTTTACCTGTACTAACCTGCATATACCTAGTACATGGACCAGTGCAGGTTAGGTGCAGGTAGACATCAGAAATACCTGCACAGCTCCAATTTTACCTGCACTAACCTGCATATACCCAGTACATGGACCAGTGCAGGTTAAGTGCAGATAGACATCAGAAATACATGTGCCTGCACTAACCAGCATATGATTCATTATGAATTTTGTATTTTCAGCGCTGGTACTATTATTAATAGTGTTAAAAACTGTTCAGAGGATGAACTGAAGTGAACCGTTCCATGTTGGCACCTTGACATGCATATTACATTATTCCACGTAAATTATTCATAGCATTCCGCAAATATTGTAAGCAGACTTCCTACACTATTATTGAGCATCACATTATTTATCTTACTCTTAGTAGTCTTACCATTGTTTTGCTTTTTCAATATTGTTATGGCTTGGTTACACTTGAACATAAATTTGCAAATGAGATAAAGTCATTAAGGGTCACTGCTCAAGAAAACCAGGTGAAACCAGGTAAAACCAGGCAGGAGTTGGAGAATGGGGTTCAGCCAAGTCGACTCAAACTGTGACGGGTACAGTATGTTTGCATAATAACGAACAGCTTAATAATGACTAAAACTATATGATTTTTCCCATTGACACACTTAGCATTAAAATCATTGTCTATCTATAATGGCCACCTGTTTTATGTGACCAAGTTCTTCTGATCCCACGAATGGCTAATAGATATGCTTTAACTGTAACAAAAATGGATAATTTTCCCCATTGACCCAAGCATTAAAAAACCTGTCTATTGTGACCACTTATCTACTGTGACTATTAATACCAATGACAATTTTGACTGCACCTCCTATGAGTATGACCTTCTATTCGCTTCTATAAAGTACTAATTAATCACTAGACGATTTAGAGCCCCATGCGGAAAACCGTGCGACGTTTACCTTTGGAAATTCGGCTGTTTCCGACCGGAATGCACCCTCGGCACGCAGCACGGGACAAAGAGAAGGACCAACAACCTCTGTCCATTACACCAACTTAATCACCCGAGCTTCGCCGAAAACTAAATCTAATCAAACCGTCGTGCTTCCGAGCATGAGTCAGAAACGGCGTGAAAAATTATCATCGCGCCTCCGCCACTCAAAGGAAATAAAACGAAACAGAAGCGGACAGTAAAGAATCTCTCGTAGTTGTACCAAAGGTATTTCCTGAGAAGTAGTGATAAATCAGAGCGGGGAGACGTCAGTGGTGCGGTCCCGCGGGGCATATATCCGTCACACGAGCTGCGCGCGAAACAAAAACGTCCCTCTGAGGACACAACATTTCCCTCCCACCAAACCTAATCAAATCCTAGAACCAAAGTAGATCACAATGGATGGATTGAGATTTACTCATTTATAGCTGCTACAATTTCCAGACAGGCAACAAATCAGTAACAGTAAAATCTGATATATTACACAAACGCACAATTTTACGCAAGCGATAAGCGAGAATAAAACATCATGACAATAAGGGCGAGGGATTATCAGGGAAAACGAAAGGCTCGGCGCGGAGCATCAGAAGGATTACGGCTCGATCAATACCATCCATCAACGTCGCTACCTAAAACACTCCGCAGCTTACCTCCTAAGCTCTCAAGACTTCTCAAGAAAATAACAAGACATCTTCCATATTACAAGACTCTTCTGTACATCTAATTGGAATAACAACGTAATGATATACTCTTAAAGAATAAACGCTTTCTTGGAGACATTCCCTACTGATAAATAAAGGGCGAGGCCTACCATCCCATGGCAAGTCCAATATTCCGAAAGATTCCGTATTGCCCACGACCTTTATTCCTGGCTCTATCCCACACCACTTGGCTTGCCGGCATTTCTTGGAATATTCCCAATTCCGATAAATGTCTGCTCACCCCGTACTCGATTACCATTGATCAAAACAGCCTGCATGTCATAAATACAGACACTCGATCCTAAAACATTTTTTGAGAACAAAAATTGGAAATCTACATGTGAATTTGATTCTGGTGTGAATTTCTTTTATTGGAAATCAGATGAGCCATCATTTTGTATTTCTAGAAATTTGAATAGATTTTATTGTTTCCTTTTGAAAGAAATATTTGTTTTTGTATTTAAAAGATTTTTCGCAACAATGCCGGACTATCATCATGAAAACAAAGTCTCTGAATCTAAATTCAAGTTCTCTCTTTTCCTACATATATCTTTCACTATTATTCTCTATTAAAAACAGAGAATATGTAGTATGTCCTTTAATATTTTTATGACTTACCGTTTTTTCTGTTACCTAATTTAGTCATTAACATAAATGTTTGCTAACCAATTATTAATGAGCAATATTGTCTTTATCATAATTAATGCATGGCGGATATAACTGGCAGTAATTTCTAAATTGCTTACAATAAAGAATAAATTTTGAAGCAACTGAGTCTGTTGTGAGTCAGGAAGCAAAATACATTTTTGTGAGTAGGTGCACTACAGAAAATAAAGTAGAATGTCATCATCAGCAAAACAAAATTACAAACCTTCTTGCCCAGGGTTGAATATGAAATTCTACTAAACTAATTTCAAAAGTTTTAAGAAATAATAATAATAATGATTAATACAACAAAGGTTTTATTTCTCTAACACCTATATATCAAGAAAATTCTGAAGACCAAATTTGTATACTTATATCTTGTATGGAACCCTACATGTACTTTCTAATAATAAAACACATACCAGCAGGCTGGAAAAACTAGTATTTTTTTTGCAAACAATTACAATTGTACCTGCACCAGACAAATTTTACCTGCACAACTCAGAAACTGTTCAGAAACAATTGCCATTGTTTCTTTTAGTTTTACACTTTATATGGTGGTAACAGTCAAATCAAAATCCACACACACATGTACACTAACATTTGCATGTAAACTCAATACATGGCCCAATTCAGGTTATTATTAATATTACGTGCAGGTAGACATCAGAAATACCTGCACAGCTGCAATCTTACCTAGTACACTAACCTGCATACTAGTATATAGTGGGATTTCCAGTCCTAACATATATGACTATGCTGTACACAAACTTGAAAAGCAAACAAAAACTGCCATACTTGTAAAAAAAGATTATACCTAATGAATATTCCCCTCGATTGTTGAGAATATGACAAAGACAGTCCTACCTTACAAGCTTGTGCTTGACACACCATCAGAAATCTTGCACCAGAACATGTGGAGTTCCTAATTATGTTGTACTTCCCCATTTCCCACTACTTATAAGCTGTAATTAGTCTTCATTTGCATAACCTCAGGGAAATTATGAGTAGCGTCTGATGGAAGAGGTGAGAAGTGAATTAATAATGGAGTCAGCACGGAGGCAGATGATGGCTGATCCTGGGAGAACTGTTAACACCAACTGATCCTTGGCCTAGGAAAAAAATGTTGTGTTTCCTGTTGCAGTCCTAAGATTATTCATAAGAATTTCTTTGGTTCTATGAGTCTACTGCATGTGAAAAACCTGCGTGTGAAAAAGTTCTGTCCTGAGTCTCCTGACATGTCAGAAAATATGCAGCACTTGCAGAAAACTGTGTCCCTGTGATATGATTTTCCATCTACAACCTGAAATTTTGTTTGAAAATAAATAAAAAAGAAAAGAAATAATGGAATCTTACTTCTGTAGTATAAAGTATAACAAACATATTTTTTCAAGCAGGTTTTTTCACACATCTATCTTAAACTGTGTGAACCAAGGTACAGACTTTGTTTTCATGTTGACAATTTTAATTTTTAATTTTCAGTACTAAAAAGTATAACAGAATAACCAAACCAGCCAATCTCACAAAACAATCTTAACATCTCTTTTACCCTAAATAAGTAATATTCAGCACAGTTAGATAATCCTACCTTTCCACTAGAAGCCATATCCTAAAGGACAAGAAAGATTGGAGCCTGCCATGCATGAAATGCCCTTTACATTAACGGTTTCACAGGGAAGACTCAAGTGCATTATTACAGCAGACTGTGCACAACAGATGGATATTACAGCAGGAAAATTGTACCAGATGGAATAGAAATGTGCTGAACTTCACAGATGTCAACTTTGCAATGCCAATTCAATTTCTTGGTCCTCTTAATAATACAGGCTTCTCGTTTGAAAGATAACTATTCTGGGCAGCTCATATCAACATGAAAAATGCTCTTGCTCTTGTATTTCTAAGCAGTAAAAGGATGTCCTTGTTTGCATTGTTTAGTTTAGTTCATCTTTAAATCAAAGGCACCCAAAGTGGTTTCAGGTGTCAGTTTTCTGGTAATTTTTTTAGTACATTGTACATAGTTTAGTTGAACAACCCTATCCCATAGCAATATATCTGTGAGGCAAAAATGTGATTATCACTGAAGGAAAACAGTTGCTTGTTTTGTATTGTAGGCTTGCATTAGATAGGTATTTAAACTAAAAAATAAATGGCCTGCTTGCATATATAGCAAGTGTTTTGGGGCTGCAGTACTTCAAGTGCTTCAAGTATGAAATGATAACCAAAATGTGCAAAGAAACGTCAGTAAATGTCAGTATCAGATTTCCTCATAAAGAATATCTTTGTTTTGCTGCCCAGAAATTACATTGTATGCCTTCAAGTTCAATGATTGCAGCAGGAGATTGTACCAGAAGGAACAGAAATGTGCACATGCTGGTCTACCCAGATGTCTTCAGACCTTAAGACAGACATGAAGCTACATGTAAAATGCCGACTGTCTTTATGTCAAGGGTGGTTTTCCACAAACATTAAGAATTGGAAACGTGGCATTTTCGTAAATTACGTATTTGGAAACTGAATGATGGCCGGTACAGATGTGGATGGGTAATTCACCTACAGGATCCAACGCAAAAAAATTTTTCTGCAGTTCCAGACCTATCTGACAGGTGGCATCACTGACTACAGCTGTATAGGTAGCTGGTCATGACATCCAGGAAAATTCACAATGCAGGACAACCAGCCAACCTTAAAATACACATTCCAGTTTTTCACAAGGATTAATTTTATGAATAAACAGTGACATCAAATTACTGAGTTCAAATCTACCAACATGTCCCAATCTTGTTCCCCTGGCAAAAGCACTTAACACAACTTTCCTCACTTCACTCAGGTGAAATTGAGTACCCATCTTTGGTTAGGGATGTTCCTCGGATAAAACGATAAATGGAGAGCCACACCCCACATGCGGTAAAGAACCCACTACACCTTTCAGAGAAGAGTAGGGACATGCCCCAATGAGTGATGGTCCAAAAATCAAAGATCCTGCAGATATAGATGTAGCACAGCAATGAAACTATAAAGTCCATTGTCAATGTCATTGTTGATAATAATATTAATAGCCCGGTGCTAGTATTCAGCCATAACAAATATATAAGTAAATAGACACAAATAGAATCTGTCAGGTGTGGCCTAAGTGAAAATCCACCCACCTTCTTCATCCACCCACTTGATGGTGAAGGGTTGGTCTTCGTTAAAGTGACACATCTCCTTCATATCCTCCTGTAGCAGGTCTAATGTCATGTGCTGGTCCCAGTATGTTATCATGATGTCACTGGGAAGAGAGCAGGAAAATATACAGCAACACACAGACAAACATACAGACAAACACACATCATACCCAGTGGCTACATTGTAGAAATCCTGCCTCTGGACCAAGAGGTCTCAAAGATGGCCTCAAAGATGGTGCTGCGCCCATTACATTATCATGTATTTCCCTACATTTACTAGTTAAGTGGACTTCAGGTTGTACAAATTCATGATCAGTTGTTGTTGTTTTCTTATTGTTGTCATAAACTTATTTCCTGAAAAGCAGGCTACATTTCTTGTAAGCTAAGTGTGGATCCCAATAAAGTCAAGTCAAGTCAAGTCCATCCTCAGTTCAGGACAATTGAAATCTATGTTCGGGACAATTCTGGGACAATAGGAAAAAAAGTTAATTTCGAGGCCTGATTAGCTAAACTGGTTTGAGATGACTTTCACTTCTTCCTTACCCGTTGTAAGGCCTGATTAGCTAAACTGGTTTGAGATGACTTTCACTTGTTCCTTACCCGTTGTAAGCCGCCTTGACGCGGACATGTGGGGAGTCTTCCACGTTCATGGCTGTTCTCGTAGGCATGTAGATCTCCTCACTAGAGCTGGTTCTTCACCGCAACAGGGGGGCCTGAAAATACACAGAACAAGACTGGCAATGAAAACATACATTGCCATGGCGACGGTGGTTGCTGTTAGGGTTATTGTTTGCATGGCACTAACATCATTTCATGATTTTGAGGAAGACTTGGTACTTGGACTTTGGTTAAGTCTAGACAGATACAGTACACTCCTCCCCTGAGCGCATAGTGAACGAGCCCCGCCCGGGGTCACAGAAAGTAGGGCCATCTGGGACAGACAGGTCTTCAGGGTTCCAGGAATGCGGACATGGATGTGGGTCAGAGAAATGCCTGTGGACATTCCGCATACCTGTGGACAAAATGCCTGTACAATTCCTAGAATTCTTGCGAATTGCACACAATACTGTACCAGTAGGCTCCTCCCTGAGACGTCGCCAAAAACACCCGTATGATACTATGTGTTATTCCTTCATTAATAGATTTTACGCTGTCTATTGAGGTCTGACTGTCAGTTCAGAAATACGTATTTTAAAAGTGTGTATAAATTGTTTTATATCATACCCGGGCCGCGATAACGGGTTCCGGACCGGGTCGTACTTAACGGTACGGCCCGGTCCGGAACCCGTTATCGAACGCTTCCATGGCTTCCATAAAACGATTTGAACGCGTTTCGCCCTAACCGCGCGTGCCCCTTTCGAAAATTCGAATACAGAATCCGGATGTTGGAACTGATGTTGCATTTGAGGGTTTAGGGGCGCCAACTTTTGGCTCATATTGCATTGAAAGGCGCGTTTTCTTGGGTGGGTATGATATAAATAAAATACAACACGGTGTATTCCGCATCACCCTCGGTCCCGGCCCTCCCACGCGTCGGATCGCGGTCGGGCCGATACCTCGGGCGATACAGAATACCCCGTGTTGTATTCTATATGTATGTTTAGTGTTTATGTGGTTTTATGTTTGTACTATGGGGATAACCTAAAATAAAGTCATATCATATCATATCATATCATATCATATCATAGTATAAATGAATGAATGGTACATTTGAGTAAAAGTGGCAAAGTGGTAGGGTAGTCTTGTGGTTAGGGTTGTTGACTCAGAATCTGAAGGTCCTGGGTTCGAATCCCTGGCACCAGGAAGTCAGGAACAGTGTGGGAAACCTTCTTCCTCACTCCACACTCGCTAAAATTGTACAGGGTCCAATAAGTCACTTTATATTTGTCTTACTTTTGTATTCACAGTTTTAGCGGTCACTTCTGTACCACGAATTTATCATTACTGTGAACAAGTTATTCGCTGACTTTCTTTCTTCTGCACCTGCCGCTACTGCAAACATCTAATGTATGCCCATATTTCCTCCGATTGTGAAATTCTTCTACCGTGACTAAAAAGCGATTTACTTTGGTTGGGGACAACATCCTCTCAGATGGGAGGTAAAGCCAGAGGCCCCGAGAGCCACACCTTGAGCGTGTTAACTTAACGATCACACCGCAGTTGTCACGAGTGGTTAAAACCTTACAGTCTGGTCTTACGCAGCTTATGCACTCATTGTACAAAACTTCATAAGACTGTATAGAACTTTATAATACTGGTACAAAAAGGTGGTTCAATAGCAAAATTGAACTCATTGCCACCAAGCATGTAGTTGGGGCATCATCACTTGAAAACTCCTGCAATCAAATGTGCAATGATTGAGTGTAACAAGTTGTTCGGTGTGATATAGCTATCTGCTGCTGCGCCGTGTGCCTGCGAAGCTGGTGTGTTACGCCGAAGGGCGGTTATACCGGCTATACCGATACAGAAAACAAACAAACAAACCCTGGATATTTGTGGTATGCAGACTTCGAAGATTGCCGATGCTGCATTAATGGGTCTGTTTTGAATTTGAAACTTTTCTTTTTTAAAAATATGGCTGTCGGAATTATGAAAATGGATTAAGTATTGAGGTTACAAACTTTTGAAACAAGAGTAGGACAAATTACTATATGATAAGGATCAAACAAACATGGAAAACCACCCAGTTGTGTTCAACTATAGTGTATTATATGGCACTGGATAACTCAGAGACACCAGAAACTTTCATGAAAATTATGAAGAGTGGCATTCTACATTCATACCTGGAATTCTACTGTTCTTACCTGACCGAAAGAATACAGGAATTCCGCTACAAACTTAGGGTATGTCTCACAAAACTGACAAGGTTTTTTATTCAACTAATAACATGCAACCTGTTAGAATTAACACATTTCATCAGCATTAACACTGCCCAGTCTAGTACTGAGGAAAACCAAGATTATTATCAAAAGAAAAGTGACGTTTTTTGTTTACAAGTAACGAAGAAAAGTAGCACGATTTTTCCGGTCTGGTTAATAACTTGAGCAGATGCATGTTGTATATCGTCTGGCTGTCAGATAGAGATTTCATCGATCTAAAATAAGGGATAGAAACTGTGTTTACCGTATAGTAGGGTTATATTCACCGTCCGAAGCACAGGCGAACGTTCCACAGAAACCTCAAAATCCGTGGTGTCAGCAAAAAATCACTGAAAAGGTAACATTTCAGACGATTTTTGACGGAAATTGGGGAACACCTCACACCCAAAACATCCCCGGTCAATCCAATATGGCGGCCGGCTTAGACCACGTGACCTGTTTGGACCAATCAAAGACCGGATTATCAGATTCCAGAGACGATACCATCATAAGACTTGGAATGGGGGAGGTATATATCTTTATGTCCTACCTGGGCCGCGATTACGTTCGATACGGGTGTTCCGGCCCGTGTGATAACTAGCGGTACAGCCCGGGGGTTCTTTACGCGTACGGCCCGGGCCTTCCAAATGTTCCGTGGAACGATTCGAACGCGTTTCGGTCTAACCGCGTGCACCGATTTCGAAATTCGAATACACGTGGAATTGATGTTGTCGCATTTTTTGGGTTTAGGGACACCAAATTTTCGCTCATTTTGCATTGAAAGGCGCGTTTTCTTGGGTGGGTATGACATAAATAAAATACAACACGGTGTATTCCGCATCACCCTCGGTCCCAGTTTATTGGACAGAAAAAAGGCTACAAAGGTTTACAGAAAGAGTCGCATGCCCCTATACCCTATAACATAATGGTATCAGCCATAACACGACATGTGCTGTTATTCCGCCATAACACCACATGTGCTGTTATCGGGAAATAACAGCACGGGTATCCGGGCCTCTGATTGGTCCACGCCGTCCGGCTATATGATAATATTCATTATTTACGTATTTGAAGAGACATCCTTTTGACGAATGGACTATTCCTACCATAGCAGGAAGTGACTACAGTCTGGTTGCAGGGGTGGGGATTGACTCAAACTTCAAGAATTCCTTTGGAATTTTGAAATAGTCTGGAGTGGTCATGGAATTTTTCAATTTCGGTGCTATGTCAGAAACTAGAAACAAATAAGCAAAAGATAAATGGCAACCATATTTTGTATATAATAAATCGGACTTGTCCAAAATTTGGTGAGCCAGATGTCTTTGTTTCAATAAAGTTTAATCCGTCTTTGTAATATTACATGTAATTTACCTTCGCCAAGAAGGTTATGTTTTTAGTAGCGTTAGTCCATCTGTCTGTTTGTGAACAGCAAAAGCTCAAGAAGACTTTACATGCATTGTCATGAAATATGGTAGGTGGGTAGGTCTTGATGAGACCTAGAAACAGTGAAAGGATCTAGGAGAATCATGGAGTCTCTCTTCTACCTCCATGGGAGAATTAAAGAAAGATGGAACGTAAATAAAGATTTAGTTTTGATATAGATCATATCGATTATAATTGATTACAAAAGAAGGTTTGCATTGAAATGATAGTCCAATACGAAAATGAAAAAAACTGTCCCATAAAAGGTGTGAGTCAAAAATGGACAGAGACGAGCCATCACACAATTAATTGGAACTGGCTGCTTCAATCTACCGTAAAAAGGTAGAAAAGCAAAACTAGAGTTCCGCGATCTCATTCCTTCGATCCAATGAAGTATTCTTAGCCCCTTTAAGCCACTAGAGAGATACATGCCAGGGGACTTGGTCCAATAGAGATCTAGAGTACAGTTTGTGGCACCCTCCTTACCACCCATGTAATTTTTATGGGTTCACCACACCACGAAGTGGTGGTGAACCCATATTGCTTTTTCTGATGTTTCTTCTTCTTCTCCTCCTTCTCCTGCCATTTTTAAAATGGATTCAGCTTCTTCATTTTGGGGCCTAAGGACCTGAAATTTGGTATGGAGGTACAGTGGGCAAATACCCTTAGGCGTTTTTTTTTAATTTCTGTGATACAGGCTTTTAGAATGGTTTTATTTGAGTTTTTTGGCTGTATTATAGCAAATGTATTGCTGTGTCAGTGGGCAGTGTTAACCACATTTGGGCATGAGTCATCACAATGGAATGCAGGGCATCAACCAATAGGCATGCAGCTTTCCTCTCTTCTTCTTGCTGATTGGCTGTTGGGATTTAACTTGATTAACACCTGCACAGAGCATTTCCATACTGACAGTATGTCTTTATTCAAGTGTTTTGGTAGGTATTTCAAGTTTTTCTGCTCCAGCATTGGAATGCGGGGCATGAACGTTTTTTTTTATTTTGAAAATCAACAGTTTGCATTATGCAATTAAAAATCCTAACCAATAAAGTAGGGAATAGCTATCCAACTGTTGTTTTAGTTGTATGTTACTTCATATTATAGTTATATCAATGTAAATCATTGTTTTCCCTTGTGTTTCTCATTCTTTCCCTGCCATGTCGTAAAATGTGGTGAACCCATCGCTGTATTTGCTCCAAAGCAAATATTGGCCTTTCTAGTTAAACTCTGTATCTGTATCTGTATTGCCGGTATAACCGCCTTTCGGCGTAACACGCCAGCTTTGCAGGCACGCGGCGCGGCGACAGCTGGCTATATTACACGGATCGACTTGTTACACCTAGTGACCCTTGAACTTCTAGCTCTAGACATCTATTGAGACAATGCCCCTACTGTACCTGATGACAGTGAGTTCCACTCTGCGATAGTTCTAGGAAAGAACTCTTACATAAATGGAAACACTCTGCTTACGGAGTCTATTGTGACTTTTAAAATCGTTTTTAAAGAGTGCAACGAGTTCCATAAATGTTGCGACGGAGATGCAGCCGATTGTCACATCTGCTTGAAGATAAAATAGCGTCACCTTGCAGGTTAGGTCCAAACTGCAGGCCGCAACCTGCTGGCTTGGCGAATACCTTCTGTCTTCCATATTTGGCAAAGAGTAGAACTTGGCTCGCTGATTGGTCAGAAGATCACAAGGTGCCCGGATGAGCCGCCATCTTGGACTTGGTGGAAATAGCTCCGGATACCTTCCTCTTCGACTTTTCCAACAATTCCCAAGATCTAAGGACTACTAAGACTCCAGAATGGTAGGGAAGACTGTCTTTAGGTGGCGATAGGAAGATTATAAAGGCGTGGCGTCTCGTGGCGTGTCTTAGAAATGATGGAATGCCAAGCAGGCGGGAGCAATTCCGGTATAGGGGGAGGGTGGGTCTCTGTACCCGATAGAAGGGGGAGGGGGGTATGTTTGGTCCTCTGGGATGTTTCTGTTCAAAGTATGTTTCTGCTCTATCATTTATATCTAGCCTACCAAATACATCGTATTCTGGAGAAGGTTGGCCCACAGATACGGAAGATTTGTGACAAGAGGTTGTCTGTCTAAAATTTCGAGCCTGTTTTCTTGTTGTTTCCTGATTAAAAAAAAATGAGTGTTGCCTTTTCGATCGGTCAGCTGATTTCTGGTGTACATACATGTAGAACAAACAACACGTACCACTCTGTCTAGTGTTCTCTGCACCGCTAAATATAGTAGACATCCTGATAACACTTACAAACGTACAGAATATACCTGGTATTTGCCATGCAAAAGCTAAAGACTTGAAGTACAGCCTGTCACATCATATGTGTGTGTTACATCATGTGATCTAACAGTTTGAAGGAAATCAGTGTTAGTATTTACCTAAGGTTAGACCTTAACAGTTGACGTGGATGGATCATGATCTTGTCTTTTAAATGTTGTTGTCGTCCATGTTTAACGTCTATTGTTTTGCTAGACATGGTCTCTAGGTGTTTGGTTTCACTTGGTTTAAATTCGTCTGGTCGTCTTGCTAGAAGTTGTCCCATCGTGACTTGAGCCTATGTGTTTTAGGAAGTGTTTTTACTCTACATATGTATTTAGTAGTCTATTTGTAATCTTAATATATTCTCTCTCAAGAAATGTTTGTCTTGATTTGTTAAGCAGCATTTTGATTTTCTGAATCCTATGAACCTGTGTGGCCCACAGTGTGGGTCATTTGGCGAAACAGCAGAGCATTCAGCTCTGAACCAAGAGGTCCTGGGTTTGAATCCTGCCAGGTCACTGATCTTGTGCCCTCAAGAAAGTCACTTAACACGACTTTCCTCACTTCACTCACGTGAAAATGAGTATGCCAGATGACCACTACCATACCAATACCCCTCAATGTTCAGTCATCAATATTGAAACTATCTGTATCTGTATAGCCTGCCAGTATAACCGCCCCTCGGTGTAAAAACACACCAGCCTCACAGGCACACGTTGCAGTTGATATTACACAAAATGACTTATTACAATGTGTGTACCTAGCTTTTGCACATTCGACTGTAAGCATTGTTTAAAGCGATCTAGTGATGTGATAGATGCACAAGGAAACAGTTACTCAGGCAACTGAATTTGATAGATTATAAAAACTGTCTGACATTTCAATATCTTGTGATGATGTCCCAACTGTACTTGGTGACAGCGAGTTCTCCTTAACTCTTCTTCTTCTTCTTCCCTTTTCGCGCTAACCTCACTAGTTTGAGGGCTCCAGCACGGTGGGGGTAGGGGTTTTTGATGGGGGTGGACGCAAATGTATAATGTAAATGTAAATGTATATATATATGTTGTGGTATATATGTTGTGGTCTGACTCATGTTAACACAATATGTATTCGTTCTATTGTAATGTAGTTATATAAAGCCTGCGTTATATTTGGTATGAGCCTATCATTCCAATATTTGAGTAATTATACAGTCACCATTGCCCAGGGAGATGATAATTATGTCTGTGTTCCTTTTGAGGTAATATTGAATATCACCATGACTAGTTTATTGTCTTGATATGTGTTTTTCTTATTTACTCTTAATCCCTGATTTCTGTGAAAACTAACAGCAATGTTTGCAATTAATTTGTTTGTTTTAATTTTTGAAGGCTGTGAAAAAATCATTTCTGTCACAAAATTTTGGGACGAAAAATGTTTGCAACAATGAATTTTCAACTTTTAATGCTTTGATGAGTTTTTGTTGTTGATTTATGTCCTATGTGATTATGAATTCAGGCTAACATAAACAAAATATGTGTTGTCCAGGCCACTTGATTGTTCTTTCTGCCCCCCCCCCAATAAATTGAAGCAGCAAATGCAATGTGTTGTGGCCCTGCCTTTTCTTTTTCTAACTTCTAAGACACACTTGATCAAAAACTAGGAAGACAAGGACTTTGTTTAACTGTTGGTTCCAAAATATGATTGAGTTTTCTTATGTTGTTGATTCATATACTGAATGACACATCAAATCAAATAAGCAAGAAGTTAATTTTCGTGGGCCTGCCTTGTTTTTCAGACCACTCTTGACAGAAAACTAGGAAGACAAGGACTTTCTTCAACCGTTTTTTTTCTTGTTGATTCATGTCCTGAATGGTGCGCATGATGAGTTACTTTATAAGATTGCAAGAACCAAGAAAATAATTTGTCGTGTCCCTGTCCTGTTGTGTATTTCAGGCCACTCTTGACCAGCAGCTGGACTGTGCGCTGGACCTGATGCGCAGACTTCCACCACAGCAGATCGAGAAGAACCTCAGCGACCTCATTGACTTGGTATGTACAGCCCCAGATAACACAGGGCACAGCGCTGGAAATTTATTCTTGGAAATTCTGTTTCAACCATTGTTTGTTCACGAAAAGCTCAAATCGGTTGCACTGTTGTGCTGAAAATTTACGAGCACAAAAAAAAAGAATTGTTTGCACAACATAATGTTCAGTTATTTTAACTAGCTTTGTATGTACAGCCACAGATAACGCTGGGTTCAGAGTACTTAGTTCTCGGTAAAGCCCTAGAGGCATTACTGTCGGACTGTCGGTGCCTGTGAGATATCAGCCTTCCAGACTGTTTCCATTTTAGGAGCATTTGCTTCAAAAATTTAAGTCGTGTGCCTAGAAATTTTTCATAGGAGCACGCAGAACTCCCAACAGCACTAGTAGAATTAGTCATTTTAATGGACAAAGCTTAGCACTAGTGATGCATACCGGTTCACTGGACTTGGATCCGGACTTAAAAAATGTTTAGGTTCAAGTCCAAAAAAACCTAAAAGTCAAGAACCGAGTCCGGACTTATTACCATAAAAGACCATTTCACATACCCCTTTTCTTTCCAAACCACCTAAAACCTTCTGTAGATTGTAAAATCTTTGCTGCAAAATGAAGAAAACATTGCCATCGGGCATCGTCAAGTACCGGCCTCCATGTTATGTCGCCAAAGTTTCACCCAGACAACATTGCAAGGTTGCCAACATGCAATTTAGTATTTGCCATGGGTTTAGGTCTGGACTTACAAGTCCGGACCTGAACCTAAACCTCTGGACTTGAATCCGGACCTGAACCTGAAATTGGGTTTAGGTATGCATCACTACTTAGCACTCATATCATGACTGTATGTTTTCTTTCTTGCTCTCTGAATGTCTGATCATGATACCTCAAGTTCTACTCTGTGCATTCCTACGTACAAAAAACACAATATTCGTGAACGATATCCTGCAAATTAACATTTGGTATGATACACCTTCAATGTGGTGCACCTACATGTAGATTTTTGCTTGTCATTATACTGGGTTTATATACATGTATATGATACATGCATGTGTATTTTTATAGTTGGCTGTATTGACTGTCACCACTTGTGAAGTGTAAAAAGAAAATAATGGCGATGGTTTCTGAACAGTTTTTAATATGATCCATATTTTCTACATTCTGAGTGGTGCAGCTAAAACATGTCTGGTGCAGGTAATTTTTTTAATGTTACCTGCACCAGTACATATGTATGCAGAAAGGAGCTCCAGACAGTGATTCTGAGACGAGTGTTTGTGTTTACTTACTTGTTGTTTTGTTGTTGTTGTTGTCCCAGGTGCCTACACTGTGTGAAGACCTGCTGTCGTCCGTAGACCAGCCGCTGAAGATCGCCCGCGACAAACAAGTGGGGAAGGACTACCTTCTGTGTGACTACAACAGGGATGGGGACTCCTACAGGTCAGAACTAGTACTGCAGCCTCAACTTTCATGCTTTTGGACGGGTACTATAATTCACTTTATGTTCACAGTAGCAAAAGTTCACGGTCTGAGGAAACTGGACATGTTCACGGAACTATATGTTCACATTGGTGACAGGTGCAGGAAAAAGAACAGTCCAGGAATTATTTGTAATGATAAGTTTAAGGTATAGAAGTGACAGTAAAAACATAAAAGTACAGTGAAAAAAATCAGAAATTACAGTAGTTTTGCAACCGGTGTTCTAGCTAGCGTCCATCTTTCTATCATTTGATGCTTATAACTCACTGGCAAAAATTTTGCCCAATCCGTCATCTTTGACCAACAAAAATCGGTTTGTAAAAATATGGAAAGAGATGTCATTAAACTAAGCTAGTCCTCCAGCAAAATTTGCCCCTCAAAATGTAGGAAATATTGATTCAGAGTGTCAAGATTCAATAATTTCCCAGGGCAGCATGCCACTGGACCCTCCTATAATTGTTAAGTTTGGGAACTCAAAATTATGAAACGTCAAACTGAAGATGACAGTAGCACTTGAAGTCCTTCTACAGCAACAGCTTCTTTCCACAAATTATATACAATTTTTTAAGTCTTTGCATTTGTGAGGTTGTGGGCTTGATTTCCTGACTGATACATACCAAAAGACTCTAGACACACATTGTTACACTACCAACAGTCGACAGCTTCAAGTTGGGGCTGGCCCAGCACATGGGCCTCCCCAGCTTCCAGCTGTAAATCAGGTATGTCTTCGCGGCCATGTACATAGTTCACTGCACAAATTTGTTCTCGTTTTTTTTAATGTTGATTTTTTGTCTTATGAGCACCAGCACCCCACCTGGCCACATATGTCGTGCACGTGAACGTGAGACCCCGTGAGGGCATTGTTCAGTAACCTGAATAGAAGTAGAAGGCTATGTCTGTAGTGAAGCGCCTAAATCTGTGATGTTTTTGCCCAGGTCCCCCTGGAGTAACGTATACGACCCTCCCCTGCCTGATGGAGCCATGCCGTCAGAGAGGTTGAGGAAACTGGAGATTGAAGCCAACAATGCCTTTGAGCAGTACAGGGACATGTGAGTGGCAATCTTTTTTATATTTCCTTTTTATTTACAGGAGAGAAGAAGCCTGAAGAGCCTGAATATTTGTGTATCTGTTTCATACATGTACTTTAGATGTCATAACCTACCTGAAAATAGAGGTACTGGTTTTGGTTTGTTTCTGTGTGTGTCTATGTTTCTGTATATTTGTGGTCAGCATAACTTTAGAAGGCCTACATGAACTGTGTTCATATTAGTTATGTGGGTACATGTAGGTCTTGGGAAGACAAAGGTCAAGGTGAAATGTTGGCCTCCTGGTGACTGACTTCAGTACTGCAGCAGAACTGTTTTTTGTATCTTTTGCCTTGGACATGCTATTTTTTTGTTATACTTTTATTTTGAAGAGCAGAGCACAATTGGCACATGGTGTGTAGTGAAAACCACTTGTTAATCTATTCTGTGTTTGCAGGTATTTTGAGGGAGGCGTGTCGTCAGTATACCTGTGGGATCTAGATCACGGATTTGCAGGCGTGATCTTGATCAAAAAGGCGGGAGATGGATCCAAGAAGATTAAGGGTTGCTGGGATTCCATCCACGTTATAGAAGTTCAGGTGAGGAGGTTTGGAAGAGTAATTTTGATTTTATTTATTTTGCATGTGTACAATGAAATTTAAAGCAGGACAGGGCTCAAAATTAAAGTTGGTCCAATGGCCACTGACCACTAAAATTTAGGCTGGGACAACTAAAAAGACACTTTGGGACATTTTTGGGACAAAAGAAAAATAATCAACATCAGACTGTCAGCCTTTTTTTTGTTTATCAGGCACAGGTCCTGGCTTTTGGCTTCGGAAAAGTCCCCAAATTTCCTGTCTACTCTGCAATTATAGTGCACCTGGGAGTCAGAATGTAAGAATTTCTCTGGATTGCCAGGGGGCCATCTTGGAGATGCAATTTCCTAACTTTTTTTTCTACTGAAGATACAGTTCACTTTTTTCATGTCATTGGAAAGAGCATGCTAATGAGCTGACATTTGATTTGATTTATTGAAATTGCAACAATGCAATACACGCGGAACAGAGGCAGCTGTTGCTGGTGTTGTGTCCTGCACATAGAAACGAATACTGGACAGACAATACTCATTTTCACTTGAGTCTAGCGGGGAAAGCCGTGTAAAGTGCCTTTCCCAAAGGCACAAGATCGGTGGCATGTCAGGACTCGAACCTGGGACCTCTTGATTCCGAGTCACGTACGCTGCCGTTACGCCACACGACCCCACGAGCTGACATTTGTCGTGTTGTTCTGTATAGGAGAAGAGCAGTGGGAGGAGTGCACACTACAAGCTGACGTCTACAGCCATGCTGTGGTTACAGACCAACAAGCAAGGATCAGGAACAATGAACCTGGGAGGCAGTTTGACTCGACAGGTGGGTGTCCAGTGTACAAAATACTTTTTTGAACCAGGTTGCAAAAATTAGGTTGCCTATCAGAATTTTAGGTTGCCCCACCTATAAGTTACTACTTTCCTCAAATTAAGTAATGTTGCATACATAAGCCTTTGACAATATTTCTAACAGCCTTTAGTTAACTGATACTAGTAATAGCCATTAATACCTAAAATTAAAAAGCATCTGCAGGCTACAGTGGTGCAAGCCAAGTGGGCATGATTTGGGGGGGGGGGCATTCTTAAAATTCAGGTAGCACACTGGGCTACCTAGGTTCAAAAATAGGTTGCCCCGAGTAAAATATTTTGCACACTGGTGTCAGAGTATACATCTGAGTCAAGAATTTTATTTTAGAGTAGAACTCTTACATTCAACCAGATTTTCCAACAGTTTAGGGCTTCCAAAACCCAAAACAAACAGTAAAAAAATAACCCAAACATTTGAGTTCCGGGCAGTCCACCTTTGGTACAAACTACTGCAGCACATCAAAACACTTTACAGTTAATCCAACTTTAAAAAAGCCATCTTCCAACTGTTCATATAATGTTCTGTGACTAGATCTTGTGTTCTTGGAAAAGGCACTTAACATCACTCCACCCTGGTGAAAAACGATAACCTGACTTTTTGCCTTTTATTTCAGATGGAGTCAGATTCCAATGTTAATGAATCCAGTCCCCACATCGCCAACATTGGCAAGATGGTTGAGGTAAGTGAATTAGAGCTGTGAAGTGCTCTTTAAAGACGTTTTTTTACAATAAGTACATGAAATTGTAGAAATGTACTATACAAAGTGTGGGGTCGTGTGGCGTAATGGTAGAGTGTTCAGCTCAGACCCAAGAGGTCCTTGGTTCGAATCCTCCCTGATGCCACCGATCTTGTGCCCTTGGGAAAGGCACTTTACACAACTTTCCTCACTTCACCCAGGTGTAACATGGGTACCTGATTTTGGTTGGGAAGGTAAAAGGCAGTTGAAGGAGAGTGTTGGGCTCTGCCTTCCAATACCATGCCCTAGACTTAGTGGATGAAAAACCCATTGCCCCTACAGCCTTAAAAAGGCTGTCTTTATCCTTTACCTTACTATACAAAGATTGAAAACGGTGTTTGAAGTTACATGAATCAATGAGATGTGTTTCTGTTCCCACAGGACATGGAGAATAAAATCCGCAACACATTGAATGAAATCTACTTTGGCAAGACAAGGGATATTGTCAATAGCCTAAGGTGAGTTAACCTTTTTTTTTTAAGCCGGTCATGTTTTTCTGAGTCTTGTTATAAAACAGGAACTGCTTGGAATGTAGCTTTTATTTATTTTCTTCCTTTTTACATTAAGTTCTTCAGTTTTCAGAGGCAGGCTAGTGGGCAGTATTTAGTGAACATGACAAGGCCACACCAATTTGTGTCTTTAGTTCTCGGATGAGAGGGCTGGGAGGAAAACTTAAATATAATATTTACTCCCAGAAACTGTTTATTTACCTTCAAGCTCTTCATTTGTATCGTTGTTATTGATCAAGTCATTGTATCAGCGTCAACAAAATTGTTGTACTCAGCATTTCTTTTTATAAAACTGAGAAGCAACAAATTAAATTGGTGTGGCCATAGATACTAAAGCAAGAACAGAACTATCTTACTGACGGATCATGTTATACTTCTTCCCCCTCCCAACTTTAGGTCAGTTGTGCCTCTGTCGGAGGTAAAGCGATGGAAGGTCCTGCAGAATGAAATTGTGGGGGCCTTAGAAACCCGCAAGATGGAACAGGACAAAAAGAAAGAGAGCAAATAGTGGAAGTTATAGGGAGTTGATGACACGGCTTTTCTTTGTCATTCCAAGGGGCTTGTTTGTAAAAGTACCAATTCAGAAGTGTTTTGATAGACCACTTTGAAAAAGCATTAGATTAGATGGAACCTCTGAAACGATAGTTTACTTGTAGCTTTCTTTGAAATTATCAGACATAGCATGCATTTTTAGATGCAGTTTGATCAGTATATTGTCATTTCACAGCCATATTTCCTGGACCATAATGGCAAAGGAAGGAAGATGTGGAATTGTTTATCAAAGTTTCAAATTGTTTACTTGAGCTAGAGCTCTAAATCATTCCTTAGGACCTTTTCATGGAATAGACAGCACATAATGTCATTAGAAGAAAATTGTTTACCCCCAAAATATACTACAATATTGTTTAGCTGCCTGGTTGATCCATATAATTTGAGCCAACCCTAAAAATTGTGTCGCTTTGCCTTGGTATATTGAAAATATGGTCTTTTGTTTTAAAAATTAGAGAGGAAAGAGCTTTGAATTCACAGTAAAGTGAATAAAACTTACCATGTTTAGTGCCTTAGAACTAAACTTTCTTTGCTTCTCTTGCAGACCGACATATCTTTGTGTGCTTCTAACAAATAATTTCTTTCCAGTAGCAAAATTAATCCAATGACAAGATTTTATTTTCATTTATACAAGACATGCTTTTCATTTCACTTGTCTGAAAGACATATACATACAATTTACAGTTGCGTTGTTGAGCTTTTTAATTTCTTGTGTCTTTTTCAGGACAGAGTCCTAACCCTAGTTTTCAACTTTCGTTGTTTAGGTCAATGTTTCATGTGTCTTGACATTTTAACTGGTATTGACTGTTATATTTTGTTGATGACAGCTAGATTTACGTGAAAGTGAAACTAGTTCTGCCTCTGTATAAACTAAATTTGCTTTAATAATAATAATCCCTTTCTTTTCATTATTAATGTACATGTAGTTTCATCTAAGGATTTAGTACATGGTCTTAACTTGAAAGATGAACATACTTGTGAACAATTTGCTTAACACTTGTTTTTTTTCCATTATTTTGCTGTGTGTATAGCTTGTCATGTTCACAATGTGCAGCTTTAAGTTTAACAGGGTCACATGACTTAACACAGGCTCCATGTGTGTTAGCATGTAACAATTTTCCACTGACTTCAAAACACATCCTTTTTAATATTGCTTTCAAAAGGAGTGTTGAATGGCAAAGATTTGTTTGGAAATTAAGCATTATTATGAATGATGAATTGCAATATTTTGCCTAATGTCACCTAAAATTGGCCAAAATTTGTTTTTTCTCGAACCCATAATTTCTTTCCATCATTTTGGAAACCCAGTGGTCATGTCTTGGTGGGCTTTTACCTATTAATTCTTACCAATTCCATATCAGACCTGTTAATTTTGTGTTTCAAAATGCCCAGGATTATTTTGTCCATTGTTAACATTACAACCAAATTATTCCATCAAATGACAATGCTTGAAATTAATCTAGTTTGTAGCCATTCTGAAACAAAATGTAATCTCCAATTCCAACACACAAAAAAAGTTTGACTATTTCTAGCCTTTGTCAAGGAATGAACAGTCTACCACTTTTACAGTTCAGCCTAGATTCAGACTAAATTCTGTCAACACAGAGAAAACTAAAACAGCTACGTTTTCGATCATGTGATCCATGTTAGGCTTGGAGTCCACACCTCACGACGTCGCTAACATTAACCTCTCCTGCTTCTCTCTTCTCTTCTCTCGCTCCTCCGTAGGTCTGTGGTGCCTCTTCCCGATCAGAAGCAACAGGCTTTACTGAGGCAAGACTTGGCCCAGGCGCTAAAGAAACGAGCGGGTGCCGACTCTTAGGCAGCTAACCCCTAACCTCATAGTGTTCCTGTCAACAGTACGCGGCACCTTCCCTGTGCAGTTTCCAAAAAATAAAAACAAGTAACTCTAGATCGTCCCCAAAATCTATCCTCTAGGTCTTTTGACAGGCAAAGTTGACTGAAACGCAACTGAATTTCCTTATGATTTAACATTAGACAGTGAAAGAGCTGTTTCTTTCTTGAAGTTGAAGAAACGCCACCAATTTTTTTTAGCACAGCACAATAGCTGGGCCACTCTTATGTGTTATTATCTGCCACTATACAGCATAGGCACAAGGCGTAATTTGCTTCATGAAGATTTTGAATAATACTAGCGCAACTATTAGTTATTGAAATAGCATTACACTTCGAGTTCAACCAAGAGATTTTGATACATTGAGTATCAACTACGGAAATGTCTCCTACATTTCAATAAGGAAGATATTTTTCTATCAGCTGATAGGTCATACATGTATTTACGAGTATACAATATACCAGCCTATTGACATTGCATCACTTTGTTAAAAAGTGTGATAAAGCAATGAAAATCTTTGCATACTTAAGAAGAGGTTTCTGTTTTGTACACGAGGAGGAAGGATGGAAAACAAGAATTGTGCAGTGTAATTGTAAGATGTGAACAAGGAAGGTAGAAGATTTAAGTATTCATTACCATGCAAAAGTTCAGAGGTTGCACATTTTACTTACCAGGAGTGTTGGTTGCAACAAAAAAATCAGGTTGCACAGTGCAATCAAATAGTCAGTTGCTTTCATATTGGAACAAAGCCGCAATATACAAAAATGTACGTAATTTCCAAGTAGTTGCACATTCTGCTTGGTTGCAGCTCTACAAATAATAGGTTGCACAGTGCAATCACGTTGTTGCTTGTTTCGGATATCAGAGACAAAGGCTGTGCATGGGGTTTTTGAAGACCATGATTGTGCAGTCTGTGACATCATACCATACATAACAAGTAGACAAACAGAAAAGGAATGTCACATTTGGGACCACATATTTTTTGGAGCAAATCTTTTCAAAACGTGTGGGTTTCGGAAACTGCACAGAGGAGGTTGCTGGCTCTAGCTATGATTGGAAAATTTCTAGCCGTCTTTGCTACCAAATAATTGCTTTAGAAGTACGTAATGTATCATGGCATTTTTCCAGAGGTAGAAAACAAAATTTACATAGTATGGTGAGACAGGGACACTATATGTAGCTTTGAACAATTGGCAGTGTGAAATTTTGTGTTGAACAGAATGATTTTCTAGCCAACCTGGAACATGTTACATGCTGTCATACAGAGATTTTTTGGGAGATATTAATTAGTAAAAGCATGATAGATTTATATCCGACTACCCCTGTTCTATGTGTGTCTTTATTAACCAAAATTCTGATGTATTTTTGGAGATTTGAACTCTTGCTAGTAACAATTAAGATTTACCCTTTTGTAAATGCATATAGCTACACCACACAAATTAACAAGAAGATAGGTTGTACAGCCAAGTGCATATCAACAAGCATATACCATTTAAGGACACTATCTGTGTATGTTTTTGCATTTATGTCTCCCTCGGAGTAATTATTGTATTTTACACTGCACGGAATATGCTGTAAATTAAAGATGGTGACTAATGATTGAGAATCAAAACCTTTTTTTCCTGTTTCATTTGTTTCAATACAGAAACCGCAATGGATTGTTTTCTTTACAAATGGCTTAGTTTGTCTTATAATGAATACTTCAATGAACAATTCATAGAAAAAAGGACTGTAATAGAGGTGATAGAATATTTAGGTTAATGTTGTTATGTTGGTGCTAGAAAAAAGGACAAGGATGACAACTCTTAAGTTTTTGAACACCTACAAACAACGCCTTTTATCCTCTCCCAAAAGTGATGATGAGACTAATAAAACATGGCAAGGCCACACCAATTTATTTCCTTGGTTCTCTGACATTTTCAGATGTTTTCATTTGGTCTTTCCAGTTTGTTATAGTTTGCCAGTTATGCATATATTTTTTTTGTTTAAATCTGGGAACCAACTTGAATTGGTGTGGCCTAAACCTACAGAAAATTTACTGACCAGGGGCCAACCTGAAAATTCTAACCCCAAGGAAATATATATTTCTTAGACCACCCAAAAGCATGCTCTTGGTTCCTTCTGCTACAAAGGAAAAAGTGGCAAAACCAACACAACAGACTTTGTATAAATCAGGGAACTGGTTACATTGTCAATTTCCCCATGTTCTAGCAGGTAGCCAAAGGGTGTTTGGGGTTTGTTTCCACTTGATGACACTTCTACAGGGCGTGTGTGTAAATATATAACCTAAAAAGCAAACCAAGACTTCTTCCAGAGTTACAATGAGTTGGATATTTGGAGACAAAGTATTGAAAAATATTGTATGACTGACCATAGATCTACCATGGTTAATCTTTCCCTGAAACAAAATCTGAAATCCCTTTTCCATGTGACCCGTGAAAAAATAAGTGTTTATTGAGTAATATCAATTGTAAATATATCCGAAAAAGGGAACCTACAGCAATATGAAAGATAGAGCCCTGTTATGCTTTGCCCTTATTTGAAATGAGACCATGTACATGTATGGTTTAGAGCTGGCAGGAAGATACTTAGGATTGTTTCATTGTGATGTTAAATTCTGATTTTCTGCACTTGTCAATACATACCTTTGAGTGTTAACATTGACAAGAGCATTGTTTCATACTGCATTTCTGAACAAGTCATGCAGATCTAGAGATTTCTGTTCTCTCTTTTCTAATGTATCCAGCTTGGGCCACACCAATTAATTTCTTGGTTCTCGGACATTTCAAAATTTAGCAAAAGTATATATGTATTAAATGAAACATTAGGTTAGGAGGAAAAGTTTCATCTGACTAGTAGTACATTCACGCTGTAAACTGTTTTTCAAGATAAAAACTGTCCCATCTGACTTCATTTTTCTTCCAGTTCAGCACTGTTGTTTTTTTTTTAATCCGAGAAGCAACAATTTGAATTGCTGTGGCCATGCTCTACTGTACAGTGATTGTTACATTGTAAAGATTGTAAGACCCGTGCGTCTTGGCAGACATAAAGGATTGTTGGTGGTTAAAAACTTTAATTTGCCATGGAATTATTGACAATTTGATTTCAAATACACAAGACTTTATAAAAGCATTCAGGGCTCTGGCTCATTTATTTTAAAGGCTTGGAAATGTGTCACTGTTGATGTAAGGCCACAATGATTTAATTTGTTGGTTCTGGGACAGTTTTATGCAACATTTTATCAGGACATAATGAAAATGGCTTAGATGAAAAGTAGTTTAACTTGCATCTGACTCTGTTTACTCCCTTAAAACAGTGTGTACTGCCCTTGGATATAAATCATACAAATCAGGACTTCTTTGCATAATAGATGAGAAAATGCTTCAACAACCTTCTTTGTTAAGATAACACTTATAAACTTTGGACAACTTATCATATTTGGGCAGAGAAGATCACCAACTGATAAAATTTGTGCAAATGAGGACCTTAATTGCAGACATTGTACATGTAGTTAATGAGAAAACTTTATGTCCACCATTTGGCAAAGCTACGATGTTTTTTCAAGAGCCAAGAATGATAAGTGTGGCCTTATATCGGTTTATGTGAAAACCTTAGAAGCTCAGTGAAAAAGTTTTCCTAAGACTTGATTAGTACAGCATGCACAACCAAATTTCACATGTCAAAATTCAAGATAGTACAATAATTCAAAAGAAATACAATCATTCAACATTCAAACAAAATGGTAGCTTTCCTTTAATTTGCATAGTTCAGGAAGAAACAATAATATAATTGCATATTCAGGAAGAACCGCCTACATAAATTCAATTTTGTACAACTAGCTAGAGGTCCAAAGCTTAATAAGGTTGAAGACTAGAACTAGAAAGAGTAGCCAATGACTGCTGTCTGGTACTAAAAAGGGCTCTGCAACTAAAAGAATTGCCTGAACACTGTACTAGGTATAGGCATGTACAATGTAGGACAGGGAAACTTCTTCAATCTTAACAAGAACTCTTAAAGTTTCTAAGACATTGGACTAGAAAGGATCCTTCTCTCTGGCTAGCAGTATTTTACTAAATAAGAGGAACAAAGGGCCAGTACCTGAATCTGAGGACAGGAAAAAAACATTGGCCTGCTCACAACTCTAACCAAACAGGGAGAACCCATACATGCCCGCTAACAAATTGCTGTTTTGAGTTGAGCCACCAAAAACTTCTTCAAACAATCTTAACGAGAAATCTTGGTTCCCTAAGGACAGTGTCAGCACTAGCACTAGTAACAGAATGCAGAAACTGTAAGCTAAGGGATGATACGAGAAGCAAGAGGCTAGCACTGGGGATGTGGGAAGATGGGTACAACTCTACCCAAACAGGGAGAACCCAGACGTCCCTGCCTCGTTGTTTGGAGATGAGCCACCGCCAAAGTTGAAACTGAAGCCCTGCGGAGAGTTGGAGCCTGAAGAGTTGTCTCCTCCTCCTCCAAACAGACTCCCGCTGCCAAACAAGTTACAGGCTGATCCACTCTTCTCACTGCTGCCTCCAAATCCTGGACAGTAAGATACATTTTGTACAATGTGAAGTTTGTTGTCACCATAATGCCAAATATAAAGAATTCCGCGAATTGAAAATAAAAGCATGATGAGAAAATAAGCGGGAAAGGTACCGCCAAAGAAGGAGCCTCCGTCGTTTGCAGAAGTAGTTGTGGTGGTGGAGTCTCCTCCCCCAAACAGGGATGCAGCTACTGAAGACATCGGAGGGACACTTCCCAAGGAGAACGAGTCACTTACAGATGTGCTACAGATGACACAAGGTGATTTAAGAAAAAAAAAACTAGAAAAACTACACACACAACATGTACATGTAGAAAGGTAGCATTTCGAATGCATAATGTTCACCTTCGCATATGGTCTGCTCTGTTAATTCTTATTCAAACACATTCACATACATATATGGTGACAGGAGTCTAAATCCCTCCTACCAAGGACATTATACAGATGTCCTTGCTCCTACTATAAAATTGCAACTTTATGTAACTCAACACCAGTTACCATGGTGAGAGACAGTCTGGTTCAGGTCATTGACCAGGTCAGAGGTCAGCATTTGGAACGGAAGAAACAGAAACAGAGCAAAAACAATATGTTTTCCTTTGGTAAAAGTCTATACTTTGGTACACATAGTTTTAAGAAGTGGATATATATATCAGGTATGGTCAAGTTCCTCTTAATCCTAATAAGCTTAAATTTCCATGATGTCTTCTTGCTAAAAAAATTACTCAGAGAGAATCCATTTACATGTAGGCAAAACAGACTCTGCCATATAATATTTACTGTGACAAATCCCAGTTTACTCTTACCTGGTATTCTGGCTACTGAAGAAAGATGTTGCACTGCTGGATACACCAGTATTTGCCGACTGGGTCATACTTCCAAAGGAGAAATTACTGGGAGGGGAAGGAATGCCTTTGAAGAAAGGTGATCCTTTGGAAGTTGGGGGTTGCTCAGATGCATTGTTTGCACTTGGAGACCCTGAGTGAGAAATGACCAAGATACGCCTCAAATATTTACAGATTTCAGATGACCAGGAAGTATTTTGGGTGTGTGTAACAGTTCTAAATGCACCAAAAGGCAGTTACTCAAGCAACTGGATATGATTTTGGAAATGGTCATTTTGTAACAGTTGTGAATTCATTGGAACGATGAAGGGATATTAGACAACTTCCTGACTTCTGCCATGTACCACCCACTTACTCCCACCTTGCATCAACTGTCAAAATCACCTCCCACCCACAATGAAATCGAAGCTATTTAATCAGATATTAGAACAACCAGAGACGCTACTCAAAACAAAACAAAGTCTTTTCTATACCTGCAAATAATGAGAATGTCATCTAGAATTATTAGAAACTATCTACAAACTGACCAGAAATTGTTGTCACAGAGCCTGACTCCATGAATAGTCTGAAACTTACCGGTGCTTGTTACACTTGTGTTTGGCGGCTGTTGTTCAGTAGATGACATGATGGGAACATTGGTACTGCCTACAGCACCCACAGGCTCCCCACCAAACTGTGAAATAGTGAACACCAAAAACAATGAAATGCATAATACTAGGATACAAATTTTAAAATACTTTGTGGAAAGAAACCAACTGAGATGGTTTGGACACCTACATAGGATGCCGGAAGATAGAGATGTGAAGAGAGTCTTTAATTGGAAACCTAAAAAAAAAAGACCAGCCGGCAGGCCAAGAAAAAGATGGTTGGACCAGATCATTGAAATCACAAGACGAGAGGAGCCAGACTTCCGAGTGGTTAAAAAAATAGCTGAACAGAGTGGAAAAGACTGACCAAGAGGCTGACAAGTTACAGGCCTTGAGGCCTAAAGGCGTCAGGGTGAGAAGTGGGTGGGTGAGACAATGGTACTATGATGCATAGCAAAACATGTCAAAAGGGAAGACAATAACTGACTCATTCAAGATCTTTAAATTTATCTGTATTACCGCCCTTCCCCTAACACAATACATTTTGCTGGTACACAGCACAGCAACAGCTAGTTTAGTTAAATTACATTCACGACTTGTTACACCTAACCTTTGCACATGTAACTGTAAGCATTGTTTAAAGCTATCTAGTAATGATGCCCCTATTGTACTTGTATTGTACTGGCAGCGAGGTTATTTGACAAACCATGTATCATTAGTTCTATATGCTCGTATATCTATAACTGCGTCAAGAAGCGAGAAGAAGTTGAACATGTAAATAGTAGATCACATTAGTATGTATAGTTTAAGTGTCATTGCTGTATCCTTTCCCTTGTCTATTCATGACCTGTGCTTAGCTTGTTAGAGCACAAACGTACAATAAAGGTCTTTATTCATCATACATGTTTGAGTTTATGTGTGATATATATAAGAAATTTAGTTTGAGTGAACTTACACCAGTAAAGAAGGACTGCATGAAGGGAGACTCTTCTTCCACCTTAAAGTTCCTCCCTGCATTTGGTGTGGCCTGTGACTGACAACATTGCAATTCACAAATACATGTCATTGATCCTTAGTTGTAGAAGACAATACAAAAGTTCCTGTACTTGTTTTGTCAATAAATAATCATTGTATCAAATAAAAGGAATAGATGTCAAATAATTGTAATAGGCATCCGCTGTGGGATCCTTTGTCTTCCTCTGTCTTCAAAAAAGAAGTCAAACTCAGTAGTTTTTACTACTATGAACGTTTTCATATGCTTGAGAATAAAGACATCTCTGTAGGTACTGAAAGCATATGTCACTTTTTTTTGGGGGGGGGGGGTCAACTAACCGGCTATCTCCTTATAGTGGTCACTTGTCTATAGTGGTCAAATTTGGCCAGTCCCTTGAGTGACCACTATAGACAGGTTTGACTGTAGTAGTTTCTTAGTTATCAGTAGTTCTATGTGTACTAATTATCTGTTTTTATACCGAATGTTTCTTTTGTTCATGCAATTAGCCCTCGGGCATGAATTTGCAATAAAAACTTTTAAAACTTATCGATAAAAGGGAATAGATATTAACTAAAAGGTAATAAACAGACCTCTTCATCCCTGTCCCCGCCCTCTGCCTGGTACATGGGGCGACTGGGCATGGAGAATCCAGGAGAGGTGGAGGTGAGCTGTAGCAGGTGCTGTCTGTGCTTCTCAAAGTTGAAAGGACTGGTGGAAGTGCTGCCTGTGCCCTCGCCAGGTGTGCTGGGGTTGCTGTTGGCAGGTGTGACAGGTGCACTGTTTCCAGGTGTCACAGGTGCAGAGTTGTTGTCAGGTGCGACGCCCGGCAGGCTGACTGGACCAGGAGTCATGGGATCTGTCACAACAGCTGAAATACAGTCAGGAATTTATTCATATATTCCATTTCATCTATTTTCCTGTAGATTACACTCAGATCTGTGACTTTTTCTTTCATGTGTCTTTGGGCACATACAGCCACAAAAAAATAACATCAACAGCATTAGAAGACTTGTTGGTGCCTGTCTTATATCTTTGGTAGTGGGGAGCCTAGCTACTTTGAATATAAACCTTTTGAGACCAGATTTTCCAAGACATAAAAGTGTGTGAACAGTAGCAGGTATTTCAGCACCAAGGACAAGATATGATAAAATCTGGTAACTTATCAAAATGCAATTCCTACATTACCGGCATCATCTGCTTTTTGGCCCTCTACGATACTTATTAATTGCTACATGTACTGCAGTCCTGCTGCGGTACTTTAGAAAGCTGTTAGGGGGCCCACAACAAAACCATTTCTCTAGTCAACAGCTACATTGTACATATGTAAAGTACTGACAGCATGTCGGCAAAACATATTGCACCTTAGCGAAACCTGTAATATACATTGTATTGTGCATAGCAGTTTGGTAGACCATCTCTCGTAAGGCCGTATTTGTGTATTAACATGACAAGGATGACATTCCGTTGATAATTTCAAAATGTTGTGCCAAAAAAGATATACTAATAGTCTGCAAAGGGCAAAATTCTGATGCACCATTGACCAAACATCCAGGTTTTGCGCAGGTGTAGTGCATGTACGTTCTGCCAACAAGCTGCTACTGACAAACCAAATGTCATTTTTAATGCCCCCCTCCGCGTACCGATATGGACTGCTCTGTGCTGATGAGACTTACCGGTACTGCCCTCTGGATCTTGAAGCTCCTGATGATCTCCCATCCTGGCTGGGCTGCCCTCTAGTGCCTGAACATGATCAAAGGTAACTTTAATTTAAAAGGTAGTCCCATAGCCTTTTTTAGGCTGTAGGGGCAGTGGGTTGTTAATCCACTGTGTCTAGGGAAGGGTATTGAAAGGCAGAGCCCATCCCTCTCTTTGCACTGGCTTTTACCTCTCTAACCAAAGTCAGGTACCCATTTCACACCGGGGTGGAGGGGGGGGGGAGTTGTGTGTAGAGTGACCTTTCCCAAAAACACAGCATCTAGCCAGGAATACAAGGAATTGAATCTGCAACTTCTTGATCTCGATCAATGCTGCAATCAAAAAACACCCTGTTGTACTATCAAAATCTAAAGCACTTTCCTAAAACTATTCTCTCTGCTTTAGCTACTAGTATGCTAGTATTGTCAGTTAGTTACATTGTGTACACTTACAATAGTAGTAATGATGGATCCCATGCCACTTTTTCACAAGCCCAAGAGCCATCTTGTTCATTCCTCAGTATAGTACTAATAATAGTCTTCAATATAGCAGATCACAAGATTCAAAATTACCCTAGAATTGTAGAAAAGGTTTTTAAAAAACAAAAAAGAAACAAACAAAAAACTAACCAACCCATACCTCTTTAAAAAAACAACAAAAAAAACTAACCAACCTATATACATATGTATGGCTCTTTAAAAAACAAAAAAAAACTAACCAACCCATACCTCTGCTTTGACCATAGAAGAAAAGTATTCTGAGCCCTGTACCTGATAGTCTGGCAGCTTGGTTGGGCTGTGGCTTGTGGGTTGGAAGTCGATCCTCTGTCTGAGCTGCAGTTCCTGAACCTGCCTGAGGAGGGGCTGCTGAGCTGGGATGTTTGGCCTGTAAACCTGCAGCAGAGGAGGCTTCTGTTGCACCACGGGCTGTGAACATGAGATACAGAGAATATCACGCAGTGAAAATGATCTCATATCAGTTGAGCTATTCCTTAACTCTAAGAGATATAAAGCTCGCAGGGGGAGACATTGTATCAACCTACTCAGCTTACTGAAGGGAGACCTAAAGCACAGAGGGCTAGGCCCTCCCACAACAGAAAAGAAACTCAAGGAGCATAGAGAGCTCGCGAGGCAGAAGGCACGGTGGATAGAGATGAAGAAAGACTGAATGCGGCTACGGGACCTTTCCACACGACTGTAGACGCAGAACACAGTAGATGATGATGATGATCATGAACCACTGGTCCTTACAGAGATGATATGTACAGTTTATATACAGGTCAATGGTTGTTGATATCCAACTGAAACATAATGTTGTCATATAGGATCTTTGGATGTCTGGTGTGCATCTGATGTAACATCATACATAATTTAGAACCTTTTAATATTCTTGAAAATATTTTCTGACGTGGGGATGAAATCTTTATCAATCTATCAAAAGTCCTTAGCATCTTAATGTTTAGTTTTACCATGAAAGCAAGAAATAGGTCAGATGAGAAAGGTACCATTTGCAAAGCAATTGAATAAAATTTATTTTTACATGGTCTAGCTCAAACACAGTCATATGGTGACCAGCCCCTCCAAGTCTGCCCTGCCATTGCTACATAATGTAATCCAACACCACAGGGCGTCTGCTTTAGCACCAGTTACCATGGTGACAGACGTCTGGTGCAGTCAATGGACCTTATTCATTTGGAGAAGAAGAAATAGACCAAAAACAATAAAAGTGAGTCTGACCAGCTGTTTGTGTTGGAAGTTGAAGCTTGGCACCTGTCGGGGCTGTGGTGTGGGTCTGGGCTGGGGGCACATCAGGGTGGGGATTGTGATCTTAGGGGGTGACTTCCTTTGTACTGGCTGGATGGGAAAAAAACAAAACATCACATTTGCAGAGCTTTCAATATTCCAAGGAGTTCATTTCTCTGTCTCTCTCTATCCCTTACTAGCTCGCTTTGTCTTGATGTCTCTAGATCTGTCTCCTCTGTCTCATTCCAATTGTCTTTCTCACTCACTTGTTCTATGTGTTTTCCCCTAGCCAACATGGACATTGTGATTCTTTGTGTGGACATCTGCCTGCTATACAGCCTGACATGGTCTTAAGTATATAATTATACAAGTCTTGTAGCCAGGGAATAATTTGTTTCAGGCATTGCTGGGTTGACAGCTTTTGGGAGGCACAGCTAGCCAGAAATTACCATGATGGCAGTTGGCAATGTTGGAGCAACTCTGAACATTCTTCAGCACTGCTCACCATATTTTTCAAGGGTTCCATACAATACAATGGTACCTGTACCTGTAAAAGTGGGAAAGCTTGAGGTCCTTTGGCTCCAAGTCCACCAGTGAACGGAGGTGTGCCATCTTCAGGAGCAGGGGCAGAGGATGGAGGAGCACCTGGGTGGAGGCTGGGAGCTGCAACTAAGTTGCTCTGGCTGAAGATTGGTGGGAAGTACTGAGATGTGGCTTCTTGGTGCACGGATGTGTGCTGTTGGGCCTCTCTCTCCCTAGCAAAGAGGGCAGCTTGTTCTCTTTCTCTCTCCTTCCTGGCCACCTCCTCCTCACGGCATCTCTGCTGCTCAGCCTCACGTTCCTGTCAGCAAGACAATTGATTGACTATATCTAGATGATATTGTATTGGTATATAAATTATGTATGTCCATTAGTACACTTTCCCGAATGTTTGAAATGCATAGTGTCTAGTTTCACATAGTCCAGCCTAACAATCTAATGCTGTTTACTTATTTTTACTCATTGACAAGTACACTAAAATGTGCCTTTCAAACTTGCTACGTAATGTAATTGAACACCACAGGGTGTCTGCTACAGCACCAGTTACTACAGTTAGGAGCCATCTGGTCCAGATCATTGGCCTTATGTGTTTGGAGAAGACTCTAAAGAACAAACAGAAAGAAACAAAACTGCAATTCGTGTTATCCTTCCCTGAAGGTTAACTTAGGACATAAAGCTCCCATCCCAAATTCATCATACCTGTCTTGCTACTGCAGCACTACTGCATTGTTTCAAATCATAATCTTAAAGCCAGTGAGTGCCTCTTTTCAAACTTTAATGAAGACCCTGGGAACTTTAGATGATTTCCAGTACCTTAATGATCCTGTCTCTTTCAGCCTGCTCCTCCTCTAATTCCCGTTCCAGCTTCCTGATGTTGGTCCTCCACTCATTTATCCGGGTAACGTTCTTTGCAGTGTCTACCTTCAGCTCAGCTCTATATACCAACTGTTAAGGTTGGGATACAGCTCAACAACAAGTAAAGCAGGGTTCAAAATACATTTTGTCAGTTTGCCTACAGGGCAATCTAATTATAAAAAGGTAACGCATCCATATTTAAGGTTGCTGCCAACACGGGCTGTTAATTTTAGGAGGCAAGCCAGGCCAATGTATAAAGGTTTCGCTCACATGCTGGCCAAGGTTGGACACAGTGTATTTCAGAAGCCAGAGTCATTTACTATCCTTGCTTAAAAAAGGATACAGCTTGATAATGCAGGCTTGCAGATTAAGGAATACTGGCATCTGTTTATCTGGAAAAAAAAATCACAACACTGAACACTCTATACCAATTCAGTTTTGGCTGTGAAATGAGTTAATTCAGTACTGTTGGGTTTGTCAAACAAAAGAAGTTAAGTTTGTAAGGAGCTTGAGGGAGGTGACAGCAAATCAAAGTCCTTAAAGGAAACATTCATAAACATTTCCTTCTCATGCATACATGTGTAATAATACAATTCCTTCTTCAGAATGACACTTCAAAGGAATGTGATTTTGATCCAGTTTTAGCTCACTGAAGAAAGTTTGGTACTCCTACTGATCGTGACAGAGAAGACAGATGTTAATTCCTACTAAACTATTTTACAGGTTCATTGTGCCAGGAAACTTCCCTTATAATATTAGCTCTTTTCGACATGCACAAAAAGAGGATTGCAAACCTCTTCCAAGTAGTGTGCATGTCAGGTGTCAGAGCAACAACGGTAATAACAGCCAGGATTTGAACTCCCAACCACTTGGTCCAGAGGCAGGGTCACTCAGTACTGGAATGCAGACAACTAAAAGGCTTCTTTTATTTATTTATTTATTTATTTACTAGACTTTCCAATGCAACAGCAAGTAGCATGGAGGAGAGACAAAACAGGTGCATAATTGCATCTCTGCCAGTTGTCTCTCCACATACAAAATACATAATAAAACAGTAATGATACAAAAATAGACAATTTAACTGACAAAATACTATAACATAGATATATATTCTTTGATTGATTGAATAGTCTTACCTTCTTCAGCTGGGTTTTCCAAGCTCCTGATAGTCCTGTTGAGCACCTCAATCCTCTGAATGGCTTGTTTGATGGTATCCTGGAGATTGTGTAGGGCTGCTTGCCTCTCTCGCAGAGTTTTCACCTGCGGAAATTTATATTATCCTTGATTTAGTAGTACAGAAATGTAAAAGGAAATCACATGCCCTCACTGTGCCGGTCTCTAGAACTCACGCCACCGGCAGAACCTTCATACACACTGCAGTTGACATCTGGAACAGTCTTCCAGACAACGTTAACGTGGTGGGCCGGATCACTGACAACAACCTCCAGTCATTCAAAACAAGAGCACACCGGCATCTTCTCTCCACCATCAGGACTTCTGCATCATAGCTAGAACTTTGCAACTTTGCTGTAAACCAATGATTCGCCAGGAGTGTCACAATCCAGGCTATTGTTTACACTAGCACATGATAGAAAAAAAAAAAAAAACTATTCATTTATCTAATAGGTCTCATTCTGTCATCTAGTTCCTTGTGAATCTGTGCCACGTCTAGAACAACTTTGTCTAATTACTGTCTCATGAATATTGTTCCTTAGAGCAAACTAACCTTTGGCATGTTTTCATACACTTCTTGGTGTTTTGCCCACACGTTCTGGAAGTGTTCTAACATCTTAGCACAGTCAGTCCTGTCAAAAGAAAATGAAACAACAAGTATTGTCAACTTAACACCTTTATAACTAGTGGCTTTGCATAACATGTTGACAAGATTATACAAATTTTGGTGATGTAAATGCATATGATAATACTATAAAATTAATAATGTTGAAATGTTTGCAGTGGTAAAATTTGTTGACCCTAGCACGTGCCATACATACATATACATATACATATATCTATTTAAAGACAGGAATAATTTGCTTCAACTGTTGCTTTTAACAATGCATAAACCTCCTTTCCCTTTCTACTGTGAAACAAATCCACCATGAACGTTACTCGGATGCAGTATATGACATAAGGTTTCTTACCTTTGCTTGTCTCCTGCAATAGTTACATCCTCCAACTTGTGCTTCAAGGCTTCTTCATGCTCATACAGCAGCTGACAAGTTCTCTTCAGGCTAAGAATTATGATAAGGCCACACCAATTTAATTTCTTGGTTAACGGATTCGCCTCTTAATTTTTTTCTGATTTGCAAATACATTGTAAAAATAAAAATTCAGAATCAACTTCGAAATGCTCATATTTTGCCCTGAACAGTTGAAAACAGTCCTTTTCTTACTACTTGTTACAGTCCTTCCATCTTTTAATGCAGTGCTACCATTAAAAGTTCAAAATTTATTGTTTAAATTTTGAACCAGCCTGGTGTGTTGACTTCATGGCTCCTATCGTACCATTTTGGGCCATAATAGGATGCCTAGGCCTTGTTTTTTTTTTTTTTTCGCCCGCCCGCTCCATTATTTTTCTAGAAAAAACCGTTAACCAAGAAATTAAATTGGTGTGGCCTAAGAAATAAGATAAAATTCTCACAGGTCTTTTCAATGATATTAGCCGTTAATGTGAAGTTACATCAATTTTAATTAAGTCTGGAAACAGAACTTTCTATAACGTATACGAGCCAGCAAAAAGCGTATTGAGTTGAATCTCAATTTTCCTTATAATTATCAGATAGACATGTTTCTGCATGAAAAATTATCTATTGTTATAACAGATTCTTTGTTAGTGATGTATCCTGATGATCTTGATGATCGTGAATCTATTAGACAATGCAGCTAGGAAAAAAAACATTTTTTGCACACTGCTTTGCTATTTTTATTGACATTCTAGTACCTTCCTACATTGTCCCTGTTGTATTTGAACTGCCTATGAAGCCTCTTGGTGTCTTCGTCCATTTGAGAGATGCCTTTTTGCATGCTGCAAATTTCCTCTTTCTTTTCCTTTGTCTGGCGCTCAAACTCTGCAAGCAAAGGTGTGCAATTAGTCTAGCCTCCTTCGCAGTCTTGTTGGGCGTGGGCGTTATTTTTCTCGGAGCGACGCGAGTAATATGCGGCCGCGAGGGACGTTTCGCGCGAAACCTTCTCTCCGTGGCAAAAACTCCCTCGGCAGCAAATCGTCCCTCGCGGCCGCATATTACTCGCGTCGCTCAGAGAAAAATAACGCCCACGCCCAACAAGACTGCGAAGGAGGCTACAATTAGTCAATGTTTTACAAAATAAAGCAAATACACAGGTAGATAATTAAGCAAAGAGAAGGTGCAAAAATCACAGTGAAATATGTTCTTCAAAGGTGTTCATTTTGATTTTCCAAGAAATAAAATGTACAGTACCTTCTCTCTCTTCATTTTCCTTTTCAATCAGCTTTACCTGCTGTTTGTTCTCAAATTCTGCAAGGAAGATATTGTCTTTGTCATTAAAATAAAGATTCAGGATACAAAGCAGCAAATTACAAACTTTTTATATTAAGTTACTGTTCTCAAAATACTAGTCAGTTGCATTGATGGTCAACTTTGCAACACAAACACAATTTATTCAGAGATGGCAGACTTCATCCCTTTATTTTTAAATTACATTGTATTTCAAAGCAGTCTGTCTGGCAGAATTACACTGAGGCTTCTGGAACACACAGAAAATGCTTAGTAGTTAGTGGAAACATAGAAAGACACACACACAAACATACACACACACACATAAACACACACACACACACACACACATAAACACACACACACACACACACATAAACACACACACACACGCACATACACACACATACATACACACAGAGAGAGAGAGAGAGTGCGTAAGAGAGAGAGAGAGAGATATTAAAGCCAAAACAATACTAACACAAGCTGTTTTTTTCACCTACCAAGGTTCTGTATGAGTTTGTCCAGGTTGGCCAGAGTTGCCGACCCGTGAGTGGGGGAACTGGCGGGGTAGCCGGACAACTGTGCAGCTTTCATGACGTTCCTGCGAAATTTTCAACGATTTGATACTGCAATTAAGTCATGGGGAACTCAGTTGTATCCCCACTACCTATTATACAGCGTTTGAACGTAATTCTGACATAGGTTTGTGTATTTTCAAGAAAAATATGCTAGCTTGAGCGGGCAAAACGTTATCGTACTCAAACGCATACAATCGAAAAATCAACATCAACAAAACTTGTAGAAATCTAAAAAAATAACAGTAATACCTCGTTTTCTAGCTCTTGCTTGAGATAGATAGCTAACCCTATGAAGTGTCTGTCAACTCAACGTTTGTCTATGGGAACATAAAATAGCTTTTTTCTCCCAATTTATCAGACGAACTGTGGTTTCAACACCAGCTTTGAACCCGCCGCCATCTTGAGCGTGATCCTATCGTCTGCTACTGACGTCATGAGGAAAACTTCCCGGATGAGAAATCTCCAAGCAGATGATGAGGTGAAAGATCGTTACGTTGTTTGAATGGTAGGCTTCTCTGACAGCCTCGTATGCTTGCAGATTTAATATCTTTGCAGAACTTTCTATCTCTTCGTATTTTTGTATATATGTATATATTACACAGCTGCATTCTGTAACTTTAGGACAATACAAAAATTCAATGGATTCCGAAGTAACACGTTAAATTACAATCACGTGACGATTTTTTTCCAATTGAAATATTTCAATTTTTGGCGCAAAAAATAATACATAATACCCTTTTTATTTTTTAGTACCGACCCGAATCTTTGATGATGTCCGCAATTCTGCAGTTAGCAGACTGGAAGATAGGGGGCGCTATAATAGTAATCTGATGACACCTACCACAGTATGCCCCTTGTTTGGTAACGAGATACTTGTGGCATCAGTCTTCTCTTTAGTAGAGACTAAAAATATCCCGGACGGAACCAAATCAAATTTCTGGAGGTCCAACACAGGTCAGAAGCTGTAGCAGTGTATATAGGTTGTCATAGCATTTTCCAAAATCTTTAATTCAGGGGTCGACTAAATGTAACATATAAAACTGTTGCATCTAAAGAATTCATCTATTTACGGATATGATTCTTCGCTTTAACGATTATGTTGCATATGTATGTATAATGATTGTTTCATAATTCTGTTTCAAAACTGCTTCCAATGCCCGGATGTTGGCAGAGATTACGAAATACATATTGATGATAGGTATTTCTGTATACGTAATGTTCCGTTGTTTGCTAACTTGTTTATTTTGGGAAAAAAAGTCACAACGTTTTTCCTGTCATTTTCATTCACAGACTGCTCTTCAAAATTTGTATTAATCTTTTTTCCATGGTCAGACCGAAGAAAAGTTTCGCTTGTCAAATTTGGTCTTTCCCTTCTTCTTTTATTTTCCAGTGGATCACACAACCCCTGACGTTCCCACCGTACCTCTGACCTCTGGTCTATAAAAAGAAAATCGGTCGCCGGTTACACAAAGTCGTCTTACGCAATGCTTATTGGGAAGCCTTTTACGCGTGTACACTGTGCTATAACAAATCTACTGCGTGCTACAGTGCATGTGCTAGTCAAGTGCTAGTTGATTGTCAGTGCCTTTCTGGACTACAATCTACTTTCTTCGTGAGTTTTTCAGCTCAGCACAACAACGCTTAGGGTAAGACCTCGTTTATCATGACTAATTCAGGAAATGCGATATTTGAATGCGTGGTACGAAACATAAAGAAAGCAAGCCAGCTATAGGTCTGTCTGTGTCACTTTGGCTCAGATTTCATAACATTAACAACGACCTCTACCGTTGACTTACGGATGTGCAGTTATAACTAGTACTAGTATATCATGATGTGCGTAATACGAATACATTGCAACTGGCACTAGCTACTTGATGAAATATCATGATTTATCTCAGTTTACGATGACTGCTTTAAATTTGTACGTTTCAACGGATAGTCTATTTCCAGGCTCGTTAGGCTACCATGGGTGACACAGAGAGCACGATGATGTCTGAGGACCAGGCTACGGCCAACTACGTGGAGAGGTCAATGGCGGTCGTGGAAAAACCGCGGGAAAAGTTCACGTACAATGTCAAAGGTCACCTGCAGTTGGACGATACCGGCCATCCCATCAGAATATTAAATGGTAAGAGCTATCTATCCATCCATGTATTTATTATGTTTACTGAAAAAATGTTTTTGCTCTGTTTCCTCTTCTTCATCTTTTCCATAAGGTCAATAACATGAACCAGACCGTCTGTCACCATGGTAAGTATTGTTGGGTTACATCATGTTGCAATTTTATAGCAGGAGGGATTTAGACTCCTGTCTGACCATATATATGAATGTATTTGAGTAAGAATTAACAGAGCAGACACATGCGAAGGTAAACATCTTTAAAGTCCAACAACAGCCTATTGCCTGCCACTGTGGGACACTGTACTTTGATCGAATATAAACCAATGATATGTCATTTTTCGCGATCCCAGGTTTACGAAGATTCCGGGAAGAAGGAAAGTTCACGGACAGTATCCGGTCTCTCCTGGAATTCGCCCTGGCAGAGGCCGAAGAAGACCTGCCCATGTACGACGAGGACGACGACGACGTCACCTTGCGTGCGCTCAACAAATGTCGCCTGAACAGAAAATTCGTGGACCTCGCCATCCTGACACAGAACAGGATGTTTGCGTTTCCATGCCATCGCGCCGTCCTGGCCTCGTCCAGTCCCTACTTCCACTGCCTATTGGACGGAGGCTACCAGGAAACGGACCAATCAGAGATCGTCATAGGTGACCTGTCGTCAGGTGTACTGATGAAGATGATTGAGTATGCATACACAGGTACGTAAATTAGCAACATAGTCGAGTAGCCTCGTGGCTAGGGTACCAGACATTCTTGACCAGACGTCGTTTTTGTGTCCTTGGGAAGGGCTCTTAACACGACTTTCGACCCAGTAGTAAAATGGGTACCTGACTTCTGTTGGGAAGGAAAGAGAGGGATGCACCTCGTTTTTCTAAACCGTGCCCTAGTCACAGTGACATGTCAACCCACTGCCACTATGGCTTCAAAAAGGCTATGGGACTATGCATGAAAACCAAGCAGATGTCAGGAGGAAAAGACTAGCCGAATAAAACAAGAAGCAATTTACCGCACGAAACCGCTAATAAACTATTACAACATATTTTTTCACTATTTGAAAGAGTTCGTGATACATGTATTAGGTGACCACACATCGTCATCACACTCACACCACACAACCAGCAGCTACTCCCATCTTGTTCCCGGACCAGATTTAAAAAAAAAAATTCTTGTTACCTTTCACACAGGTAAACTCGTGGTGAACAGGTACAACGCCCAGACGATGTTTGAAGCCGGTTTGATCCTGCAGTACCCGACCGTCCAAGAAGCCTGTTGCGAGTTCATGTCCAACCAGCTGGAACCAGAAAACGCTGTCGGGATTCTGCAGTTTGCGATGAAGTTCGTGTGCGAAGACCTGAGGACGAAAGCTTTCGACTACATCGTTGAAAACCTGTACTTCGTCTCTCAGAGTAAAGAGTTCGGGTTTTTGAGCAGGGAGACCATTTTAGACTTGATCAGAAGTGACAAACAATTCTTTTCACCGGAGTGTCTGTACGAAGCGGCCATAACGTGGATCAAGTTTGGAACGGAAAGCAGAAAGAAATTCTTAAAGGACTTTTTAGAGAGCATTAATCTTTCGCATATTAAGAGAGGATTCTTCGAGACGGTGGTAGAAAAGGATCCGATCGTCTCCAAGTCTCCATCCGAATGTTATCAAATAATATACGACGCAAAACAAAGTATGGAGAAACGGGAAGACAGTAGGACTTGCAGAGAAGCTATTGTGATTTTCGGGGGTTCCAACAATGGGGTGTTCGTTCCGGAGGTTGACTTGTACGATCCGCGGCTGAGTTCTTGGGACGGGCTGCCCAGTCTTCCTAAACGCGCGGAGGGAGTTCGCCACGCCCTGGCAGAGCTGAACAACGATCTGTACGTTGTGGTGACTGGTGTGGACACCCCTGCGGAACTGTGGCGCTTCACGATCCACGCGAACGCTTGGAAGCGCCTCCCGAACCCCAGCATTCACGGCGACGGCTGCGCCGGGGTGTGTTCCACCGACGGCTGCTTGTACCTCATCGGGGACAGCACGACAGTCGATGACGTCAAAAACGGAGAACGGTACAACCCTGACACAAACCGCTGGGATCTAGTCCCACCCGCCGCCAAGACCCTCCGTAAATCCAGCGTCGTGGTGTGCAAGGGTAAGATCTACGTCTTTGGTTACCATGGCGATGACAGTGACGTCATAGAGGTTCAGACGTTCGACCCGATGATTGGACAGTGGGAAGTGGTGAACGTTACGGAACACGTGGGGAGGAACAGGCAGTTCCAGGCCGCGGCAATGGACGGCCTCATTTACCTGAGCTCCATGGCGACCAAGCAGAAGGACGTGTACGACCCGGAGTGGGACATGTGGACCACGCTACCCAGGGGCGACGGCGAACACATTCAGGTAAGGGGGTCACCAGCCTTTTCTGAACCGGGACGGGGGTAGAAGTAGACTTCAAGCAACCTTTGACCATTTTGACCGGGAAGGGGGGACGATGTAGACTTCAAACAACCTTTGAAACATCTCAACAGCTGGGACGATGTAGAGTTAAAAAAACAACCTTTGACACAATGCAACAGGGCGGGGCGATATAAACTTAAAACAACATTTGACCCATCCCAACTAGGGCGGGGGGGGGGGAATATAGACTTCAAACAACTTTTGACCCATTGCTGACGTCACATGCCGAAGCATTCTTGGGACAATCGTGCACGTGTCCAGTAAAAATCGACCTGTTTTTGTGACTGGAAAGGCTGTCTTAGAAAATGTAGATCGATCCTTGTTGGTAGTTTTGTGCTTGAAAATTCTTCATCAAAGTCGTGCCTAGCCAACTGCACGATGAAGAAATTTAAAACATTTACTTTTTCATCATCCGATGTATCTTTTTTCGGGGTAGTAGTAGTATATATAGAATGGTTTATTTCAAATTGAAAACTCCAGACATACACAATTTCAATTACCACCACACTGACAACAGACTCGCAGGCAGCCATACTGGCTGTCTGAATTGCTCTGAGGTCACAAAATATCATTAAAATATGGGAATTATTGTTAAAAAATTATTACATATTATTAAATATTGTTAAAATTTATAAATCGTAAAATAGTAGCCGGTACAAATCGGATGGCACCCAGGCTAGTATCTAATAGCGTTAACTTGTAATTCCTCACAGGGTGCGATCGTCATGCTGGACGGGTGTCTGTACGAGATGGGGGGTCGGGACGGGATCGGCGTGAAGTACGTCAACCCGACCATCGAGCGGTTCGACCCCAGCCGGACCACCTGGACTCAGATCGGGTTAATGAAGAACCCCCGCATCCACCCGCTCTGCGTCACCATCAAGATGCCCAGCGGCAAGTAGGCACAGTAGACACCACAATTGCGTTGGGTAGTAGAGGCCTCAAAATGGGAACGTAGTTCCTAGTTAATATCTTTGAAAATCCTTTCGTCTCTTGAAAATTTTGGTCCAGCTTGGAGATTTTTGGGCTAGAAGGAATAGGTAGGGTCTAAACGTTCCTACTTTGGTCAAATTTTGTTCATTTCATCAGTTTAGTTGAAATTGCAATTGCTCATTGAATGGGGTATGAATGGTAACAACAAAAAGTGGTTGCTGTTTGGATAAGGTGGTTGTGTAACAGAGGGTCTTAACTAGGTAAAATTAGGAAGGACTGTACACGTGGTTCGATGCATTAAAGAAATGTTTAGCTTACAGAAAAGTTACTCTTCCACTATAATCTTGTTGTTACTGACCATAGTATTTTGTAAGTTAATGTTATTGGAAGTGCATACCAATGAATACTATTAAAACAAAGATTGGAATTGAATATTGTTTTAATACATGTAACTATTTTGTTTTACAAATGAAAGTTCATTTGTGACAGTAAATAATATTACGAAGACTTAAAACCATTACATAAACATGTAATTGAAAACATCCCTATGTATATAGAGAGTTGATTGTTGTATTTTTCGATGTAGATACTTTTAGCATGGTCTCTATTTCTGTGTGTACAGTGGTTTAAGTTAGTGGTTTAAGCTATGATGATAATGAGTTAGTGGTTGAAACAATGCTGCATAGTATTTCGGTAGGAATAAAATAGAGATACGTACTTGCAGCGTCATGATTTTGCAATGATGAGGTCACTATGGAAACCGCAAAAATAATACCCGATTTAAATACAGGCAAAAACCTGACGGAACAAAAACTGCGTATGCATGTTCAGATCATATTTTACATAAGGTTACATTAAGGGCTGGCATACAGTCTGAATAAGTCAAAGCATGTGGATGAAGGTTAGACATCCAGGTACAAATGTAATAAGATATGCCAAAAACAGTTACTCATTCGACAAGCAACTAGATATGATTTTCGAAATGGTCAGACGTTTCAAGTAGCATTCACTACCTTTCATCAGTGACACTGGTGAGTTGTCTAGTGAGTTGTCACTGATGGAAGGCAGTGGATGCCACCTGAAACGTCTGAATATTTACATATCATATCCAGTTGGTTGAGTAACTGCTTTTGGCATACGTCAAAGCAGGCTGATTTACACATGGAAAAAACTCGACCTATGCTGTTTTTGTACACTTGCGTGCGTACACAGTTTTCGTATCGTCATCTTTTTGCCCGGGTCTAAAACCACTGCAAACATATAAAGATTTACAGTCCTAGAATATAATAACTGATTAAATGTTCATCAGAGCGGCAGGTTGGCGTGTTTCTTCCATGGTCTGCTCTCCTTCTTGGTGGACAGAAGGTCCAAGTCTCGACAGATGCGCTGCCTCGTCACTCTCGGCTCCAGGATGTCGTCTACGAACCCGCGAATCGCCGCCGGGAAGGGGTTGGCGAACGTCTCCACGTACTCAGCCTCTTTCTTGGCCTAAAACAAAAGTGGATTTCGTCAGCGACGGTTAGACATCCAGGTAATAAGATATGCCAAAATACAATTACTCGATCAAGCAACTGGATACATGTATTAATATTATTTTGGAAAAGGTCAGACATTTCAGGTAAAATCAAATGTCTGAACGTTTCTGTAAAAGTTGATTTCAATCTAAATGAATGCCTTAAAACTGGTGCCACAAAAAGACAAGACTTTAATGTTGCCAAGCCTGCTATTAGTAAGTGGTTGTAAGTACACCTAATACAGGCATCAACCTCTAGTTAGAGTCACATTAATTATGTAAATGATAAAGTTTGTAGTTTTGTATCCACAAGATTTAATAAGAGAACAGGCTATTAGAAATTTAGAAATATTAATTCACACTAGTAGTATGTAGTGGTGTAATGTTTTTTTAGAATTCTACATACCAACAAATGGCACCAAAAATTAAATGTTAATTGTACTCAAAGTTGGCCACAGAATTCTAATGGAAAGGTACTTTAGGGCGAGTTCAAGAATTTGATTGCAGTATTCAACCTTGCATAAGGTAAATCTTACAGAACCGACTTAACTCAATCATAACAATTTATTCTCTAAGAAACTACACTACTTGCTTCTGGAACAGAGTCCACCTTTAAGGTACTAACCTGGTCCTGGTCTCCTCGGAAGATAATCGACACGGCTCCCTTGGCTCCCATCACGGCCACCTCAGCAGTGGGCCAGGCGTAGTTAATGTCTGCCTTCACGTGTTTGGAGGCCATCACATCGTACGCACCTCCATATGCCTGAAAATTCCACCATAAAATACGACTTTTACAGAAGTTATTATTGGACAAGCTCAAAGTATAGGTCTCGGCAAGTCCACTGGTAGTGTGTTCAACTCCCGCCATACTCTCAACTCCCATACAAACAGGCCACTACAGCAGGGGCTAGTATTCAACTCCCATACTCTAAAAGTGCGGAGTGTAAAGCAACAGTTGGTACTAGCTTAAAAGCTGTTGGTGTGACTATGGCCTACATGTACATGTATGTGTACTACGCTATTGCTGTGGTTGCTAATGTTGGTACATAAAATTTGACTACAATTTTTTTGGTACGATTTTTACAAGACTGATAATGAATGAAGAAACATTGCACACTAAGCAGGAAGATTACCTTCCTGGTGATGACAGTGATTTTGGGCACGGTGGCTTCAGAATACGCGTACAGCAGCTTGGCTCCGTGACGGATGATACCATTGTACTCCTGGGAGGTGCCTGGCAGGAAACCAGGGACGTCCACAAATGTGAGGAGGGGGATGTTAAAGGCATCGCAGAAACGGACAAACCTAAGGTGGCAAACAAACAAACAAACAAGATGGTCTTGTGGTTAGGGTTGTTGACTCTGAATCTGAAGATTCTGGGTTTGAATCTCTTGCAAACCCCAATGTTGTGACTTTCGGAAAGGCCCTTTAACTTACCTCTGTCTTCACTAAAGGAAGTGGAAAATGAGTACATGTATCTAGCTTCGGTCAGGGACATCCTCTCAGATGGGACGTCAAGTTGAAGGAACTGTGTTTGAGGACAGCCACTCGTTGAGCATGTTAAAGAACCCACCACACTTATCGAAAAGAGTAGGAATCCATTTCGGTGAGAGTGGATCAAACCTCACGGTCTTACGCAGCTTGTACTTACTGTGCAAAATTGGACCAGGTGTGTTATGCCTAAGGCCACAGCAAGTACTTTTTATGGATGACATCATCTCTGACAGTGGTCAACATGCCGAAAATCGGCAAAGATGTCTGTTGCCGGAACGTGGATGTCAGATAACTATGAAGAGAGCTCGAGATGACAACAATAGGCTCTGATTTAAGGCTGTGTATATGTAATGTTCCCACTGAATCAAAACCATTTGTACAATGGCTGAGTCAAAACTTTAAAATGTAGGAACCTTGTTTTTTTGGCCCGCCTTGTTTTTTTTTTCGCCCTCTCGCATTAGATTTGGAGTCTGCGGAGGATGTCATCCATAAAATTTACTTGCTGTGGCCTAAAGGTGGTTTAATGGTTATGCAAAACAAACAAACCTGGCGCCTTTGACAGAAGCGTTGATGTCCAGACAACCTGACGCCACCTTGGGTTGGTTCCCCACGATTCCGACCGTGCGCCCGTTCATTCGCGCGAAGCCCACGACGATGTTCTTGGCGTAGTTGGGCATGATCTCGAAGAAATCCTCCTCGTCAATAACGGCCTGGATCACGTCCAGCATGTTGTAGGGTTTGTGGGAGTCCAGTGGGACCAGGTGGTCCAGAACCGGACACAACCGGTCAGCCGGGTCCTCTGTGGGCCGGATTGGTGCAGGGTCCTGTCAACAAACAAACAACTTCTGGCTCTTCACACTTATATCTCATCAGCAAACCGTTTCTATCTCTTAGTCCTTCCATCTATTCCTACAACACTGTAAATATTGAAATATTATATATTTGAATGACCTCTGGCCTCCTACCATACTGAGTTATGATATGGATTGTAAGTATAAGAGATTTCTGTGATTTGTGAATTTATTGTGTTATGATGTGTGTATGTTTATGTATGTATGTATTTCATAATGTGGGGCCCGACATCAGCTTAACTGCCACTGTATTGCAGTGTTGGCAATTTAAATAAATAAATAAACAAACAAACAAGGAATTAATGATTGAGGAAAATAAATATAGTACAAAATATAAAACAAAAATCATAAATATAATACAACAACAAGAAGAAATCAGTGACTCACTGACTTGTTGTTGTATTATATTTCATTCTTGTTCAGAACAAGAATCAGAATTTGTTAATAATGTTCTATACTTTATTCAAAGACAATTTAAATTCTAAATTACAAAGGTTACTTCTGGACATTTCTGTCACTCTTCAGTGTCAATAAAATGCACAGACAGTAACAGTCAACACTTATGACATGTATACTCTTAATTGTATGTTTGATAATATGTTTGAAGATAAGTAAATAAAATATCATAATCTACCAATTTAACCATGGAGGTACATTGTATGTCTGTATTAACTCACCCTGTTACTGAGGGGGAGAAAGTTGTAGAACTCCCGCAGTCGTAGCAGAGCGTCAATGTCATTCTCAAATGCTCGATGGGCGACGCCTGACAGCGTGGTGTGTGTCTTCGCTCCTCCCAGTTCCTCCTGAGTCACTTCCTCACGAGTCACTGTTTGAATCAATCAATCAATCAATCAATCAATCAATCAACCAATCAATCAATCAATCGAAACGCTCAACATTCTCATTCTCAGTTGCTGATGTAATATACATTATTGTAGTCTGTGCTATCTAAACTGTCTGGCTCTTCAGAGAATTATTGAAACAAGTGTTTAGAATCCTTCCTTCCATGGCCTCCTTACGGTAAAGTTGCAATCACACAGAGATCGTACGTTGTAAGCACGTACAACTCACTTACCACTTGCGCAACGTATGATGCATGCAACCGCTCACGGCCAGACTTGGCGTGCAGACCACACTCTTACACTTTGCGCAACCGTGCGAGTGACGTGTGAGTGACGTGCATCGACGCCACTCCTTCCCCACGTTTTCAGAAAACGTGGCAGACATAGCCTCCCAAAAAACGTACGGACAAAAAGCATGTACGGCGGGTTGTGACTGAGGCTAAGTTATGCTATGACCTACCAGACTTGACCACATCGGGGCCTGTGATGAAGAGGTAGGACGTGTCCTTGACCATGAAGGTGAAGTCTGTCAGTGCCGGGGAGTAGACTGCTCCTCCTGCACACGGACCCATGATGAGGGAAATCTGCGGCACCACACCTAATAACCAATCAGAATCAAGTTACACACCTGGTTACCAACCAGGAGCAAGGTATATGCTTAGCAACCAATGACCATAAAGTTATGATAATAAGCAACCAATCAGAATCAAGTTACACTCCTGGTGACCAATCAAAAACACCATCATATGGCAACCAATCAGAATCTACCGGTAGTTACAAGCCTAGAAACCAATCAGGATGAAGTTTACCTGGCAACCAATCAATTTACACCCTTAGTAACCAATCAGGATCAATCTAGACAGCTGGTAACCAAAAGTCAAGTTACATACATTGTACCTGATTTGTAATCAAAATCTAGTATCACAACTATCAACCAATCAGAATCAATCTACGCACAAGGTAAAGAAATCATGGCCCAGTTATGACACAATGCATACTTATGGAGTGAGAATTACTATGTAGTACATAGTAATTCTCACTCCATAAGTATGCATTGTGTCATAACTGGGCCATGATTTCTTTACCTTGTGCGTAGATTGATTCTGATTGGTTGATATGTAGCTTGTGGTATGAAACTTAAAAAATAGATAGATAAACAGATCACAACTAGCACAGGTTAATGTACCCTGTCTTTTTACAACTATTTTGATGCCCCTGAATAAACAAATAAAAGAATGAAGGTCTGAACTTTTCAGTTTCATCTTCTTGTGTAAATGACCTACCTGAAGCCTCCACGTTGCGCTGGAAGATGTCAGCATATCCAGCTAATGACTCCACCCCCTCCTGGATACGGGCACCGCCCGAATCATTTAGACCAATCACGGGCACTCCTGTCAGCATGGCCTGGTCCATTATCTGAAGGGGTTGGACAATAAATTTTATCAACAAATACTTAGAGACATACACTTCTTGACCAAAACATTATTGGATACTTAATTTCATTACTAGTACATATTCTTTGATATAATATTTCATTCAACTGAAGTGATTCTTGCAAAAAGTAATAATGTAATTGCAAAATCAATACAAGACGTCCCACTGCAATACCATAGAAAGCCACTAGGAGGCTCAAAATCAAACTGGTGCAGCCACCTGGAAAGAGCTCACAACATCTTTTTCTGCATGATAATTGAAATTTACCTGTTTTACAAATTTTTCCTGTAGACATCAGAAATACCTGCACAGCCCCAATTTTACCTGCACTAACCTTCATATACCCAGTACATGGACCAGTGCAGGTTAGGTGCAGGTAGACATCAGAAATACCTGCACAGCCCCAATTTTACCTGCACTAACCTGCATATACCCAGCACATGGACCAGTGCAGGTTAGGTGCAGGTAGACATCAGAAATACCTGCACAGCCCCAATTTTACCTGCACTAACCTGCATATACCCAAGACATGGACCAGTGCAGGTTAGGTGCAGGTAGACATCAGAAATACCTGCACAGCCCCAATTTTACCCGCACTAACCTGCACATACAGGTAGTATTTCCAGCCCTACCCTACCTTGCATATCTTGCGAGCGTGTGCGCTGGACAGACTCCCCCCGAAGACGGTGAAGTCCTGACTGAAGAGGTAGACAGGTCGCCCGTGGATACGACCGTGACCGGTCACCACGCCGTCACCGGGAAACTTGTTCTCTTCCTTCTCCATCCCGAAGTCCGAGCAGCGATGTTCCGCAAACATGTCGTATTCCACGAACGTATCTAAGGCAGAGATTCATGTGAGGAGACAAACAAGTAACAGTGTTTTCTTTATTCTTTATTCAAAAACAGTGGTCAGCCTAGCAGGAGTACACAACAAATTATAGACCGCTGAATTGTGCTGACCATTACATAGTTGTACATAAGAATACAACGTAGGTACAAACAAAACATACAGATTCACGACAATGACAATATGTACAACACATAATGATGATGATGATGATTAAGATTCACTGGTTATGTAACACAAACAAGAAAATCTTTTCTTTCTCTTTCCTGCTACTTATGAAGGATACTAATAACATTACATGTAGTTGATATGATAGTATGTTATTTCTCTTTTCCTCTTCTTTTATGCTACTTGGTACAAGTTTACTGGCGGGAGAGAAAGAGGTCACGTAGAGTTCACTAGTTGTTGAGGGGGGTTGATTGATTTTTTTTTCTTGTTTTATGAGCACCAGCACCCCACCAGGCCGCATATGCCGTGCAACTGAACGTGAGGCCCCATGAGGGTGTTGTTCAGAAACTCATAGATGTAGATAGATGTAGATGAGGGGGGGGGGGGCTTTAGCACTATGTACCGAGCCCGAATATTATTTTAGCATACCAGTACTAGGAGCAGCGTGTTAAATTTCAAATTTCAATCGGTACAAAATTGCCTACTTTTGGCAGTTTGTCTTCAAATCAAAATACTGGGAAAGAAACTTACCCGGATCAACCAGTAAATCGACTCTTTCCCTGGCGGTCAGTTTGCCCTTCTTGTGCTGCGCGTCGATGCGTCTCTGCCCGCCTCCCAGCACGGCCGCCCGCCGCTTCTCCTCGATCCTGTCGTGCACCGAGGGCGACATGACGTCCGCGCTACAGTAGCGGGGACAGCCGGCCCGCAGGAGCCGCAGACAGGCGGGAGTCGTCGAAAATTTGGCGAGAGCACGAGAATACTTCACCAAGGCGGCCATCTTGGTGCTGACACTAAGGGTCAAAGGTGGCGACCTTTCACCTCCCCTGATACTTCATATGATATCGGAAGAGGCGTCCGATACTATAGCCGTCAGTAGTATGTCATCTAAACGTAATCTCCAAGCAGATCTGTCGGTGGCAAAGTCGTAACCAATGGGCAACATAGTATGCAATAGGAAAGAGAGTATCACATAGGAAAGGCACTCTCCATCGATGGCCTATCGAATATTGGGCCTGGGCCGGCTGTCAGAAACTAGGTCACATCTTACCAAGCAAGCTATAGGGACACTAGATCAGTTTGAAGGTCAGTGGGGCTTCATTTCTAACATGTTTGTAACCAGGTGGAATTACCTATATTTTAGCTGATGAGTCCAGTTTTGGAGAGGACAAAAGAGACTTGACAGATCGTAAGGCCATGTTGATTTGATTATATTGATGACATCCTCTGGGAATCCCAAAACTGATGCGAGCGTGCAACCTTAAAAAAAAATTGCTTTCATTATGAATTCTATGTGGTTATGAAGGTAATGCACAAATAAAAACACAGAGTTCGGTATGGCAAATGATAGAGTCTTCATTTTCATTTCTTTGCATTATTCTTCCTTTTCTTTGGCAAACTATGACATATGTATCATTTTCCAATATTTTTACTGTACGGTATATATTTGTTCATTTGGCAGCTGCTTTCTGCAATTTACAGAATGATCGAATTTTTTTTCTGTTATAGGACAAAAATTCATTCAATGACCTAATAGGTAAAATTGGTGTCAGAGGCTAAGTGTACATGTATGAAGGAACGCAAGATACAGTTAGAGGTATTATATTAAAGATGATCATATTTATTGTTGTCTTTAGTATAGTGCAGGTACATATATTTAAATATCATAATATCATAAGAACATATGAACATAATATCATAAGAACATAATATCATAAGAACATAATATCATAAGAACATATGAACAAGTGTACCTCACCGGATTAGTATAATCTGGAGGCATGATGATGATGATGATGATATGGCTAAAGGAAAGATTTCCAAATTTCAAGCTAATATCACTTGGTAAGCCTAGCAAATTAGAACTTGTACAAAGTTGCACATTTTATTTGTAAGCAATAAGGTTTTAAAACCTCCTTGATTCGTTCTTTAGCCTAATTTTTGTCATGATGTACAAAATTAATGTATTGTTGCAGTAATGACTTCCCTGAAGGAAAACATATTGTTTTTGCACTTTTTTGTCTTCTTCTCCAAACAAATTAGGACAATGACCTGGACCAGACAGTTGTTATCAACTGATACTACCCTGGTATAGCATCTGAGTACACCCTGTTGTGTTGGATTTATACATTATGTAGCAATGGCGGGACAGATGTGTTTGAGTAAGTACAATGTTTTGTACAAATATCGAGGTATAGTTTGTTAGGTTGTGAATGTTATGCATATGCTTTGTAAATGTTGTCTTTCTAGCTGATTTTTTGTATGAAATTCTGAATATGACATATGTCAGGTTTTTGAGTGACCATCAGTGTCAGAGGGCTTCTCTAGTAGCCAATCGGGCTCTTCTTCACATAGTGCACATGGTGTCATCACACTGGATGGAAAAGGGAGAAAAATATATTGTTAACAAAACAGGTTGAGAAATACAAAATAGTTGGTCTTTTGGTTAAATATACATGTATCGTAACATGCACATACAAGCACACACACACACACAAACACACCTTAGGCTAGGCTGTGTGCTGGCCTGCACACAATGTTACACACACATGAACACATGCACGCAGAAACATGTTCACATGATTGAGACAACATCCCTACCTTTGGCTGTGCACTGGCCTGTACCTTCCCCTCCAGTCCCAGTAACTTCAGCACCTCCTGTAGTTCTACATGGTCGCCTGGAGAGTCCTGCACAAAGTTCAACAAGACCTTCTCTCCTCCTAGGTACAACATCATATGTTATCAGTTAGGCCACAGTAGTGATGCATACCTAAACCCAATTTTAGGTTCAGGTCCGGATTCAAGTCCAGAGGTTTAGGTTCAGTTCCGGACTTGTAAGTCCGGACCTAAACCCATGGCAAATACAAAATTGCATGTTGGCAACCTTGCAATATGTTGTCTGGGTGAAACTTTGGCCACATAACATGGAGGCCTGTACTTGACGATGCCCGATGGCAATGTTTTCTTCATTTTGCAGCAAAGATTTTGGAATCTACGGAAGTGAATATTAAAAAGAAAAGGGGTATGTGAAATGGTCTTTTATGATCATAAGTCCGGACTCGGTTCTTGACTTTTAGGTTTTTTTGGACTTGAACCTAAACATTCTTACAAGTCCGGATCCAAGTCCAGTGAACCAGTATGCATCACTAGGCCACAGCAATGTACATTTTATGGATGACATCCTACGGAGACTCCAAATCTAATGCGATAGGGCGGCAAAAAGGCAGGCCAAGAAAACAATATCAATTTTTTCTACGTTTTCAAATTTTGACATCATTATAACCTTGTTAAACAAGAAATGATATCTACATTGTGCTAAATTTACTGCCAACTATTACAACATCAATTTGTCACTGAAACCCACCTGCACTGACTATAAGAGTACCTCCTGCTTGCAACAGGTCACCCTTGAAGTTCCCAGGAATTCCTTCTGATTTTGCCTGGATCGAGAAACAAGTGATTGCTTTTTAAAGACAAGATGTCATGAACATTATTGATGAAAAATTTTCTTCCAGGTCAACTGTTTACATTCTATTTCTTTGAAATATCTGGGAAAGGGACTGTGTTAGCTTTTAATGAAGTCATCTGAATTTACATGTAAAATACATTTTAAATTACAATGTATAGATACATGTATATTAGGACAGAGTCACACTCAAAAATAAATATTTACTTTGAGCAACATATATATAGTTGCATGTCTTGATTTCAGCTTACAACTTGCTTGCCAATGTAAGTATCACCAATGAAGCTCTATTGACCACAATTGATCAGGGCTGAGGACAGAACAGCAGTCCTACCTTACTGATGACTTCGCGAGACTTTTTCGACGCTGCAGCAGGAATGACATTGAGTGCATTGTATCTGGAAAAAAACATGAGGGTACAACAGATAAATGTCTTAGATGGTTTTACTGACTCGTCAAGTTACCACACATACTGTCTCAGGTTAACTTAGTAAATACAATCTGTTGACTGTCACCTTACGTGGCAGTTAACAGTAAAATGATAATTTGAGAGGTTAAAAAAGTAATTACATGACCCTATGTTCTGACAGTTCTATCCATTTCTAGATAACCCTAACCCTATATCAGATGATGTAGACTAGACACATAGGGCACAGTCAGTGTGTTGTAAAACACTTGTAAGAAACAGGAGGAGCCAGTAAAAACCCTTCTGGTCCCGGGCTGGGGTTCGAACCCACGACCTCCCGAGCACCTTGAGCTTCATAACCAGACGCTCTAACTGCTCGGCCGAAAAGGTGCAGACCCTTCAGCCGGGTCAGTTGGTAGCGCCTATAAACCTCCCACTGTTACACACTTACTTCATGGCATTGAAATTACTCACCTTCTGTACCCGAGGTCTTTGTAACACTGCTTGGTCTCATCTACATATAGATCTGCCAGAAAGCAAAAAAGAATCCATAAATGCTCTAATCATTAATGATAATGAAATCGACTTTACTACATGCAGGTAATTGAATTATGCTTATAGTATCACATCAAAACTTCTTGATACACTGTTGAAAAATGCACACACGGCTCACATATACATAATCTTATTGGCAAAGACAAAAATGGTTCAAAATAAACAAACGGACAAATTCAGACTTTTCTTCTGCAGATTATTTGTATGTGAACTTGTCTTAAAATTGTATATTCATGTTGCCACATTATATGTACTATATTTTAATTAATAATGACTTGCTGCATTTTATCGTTGAATTTGAGACTGTTTCATGTCGAATTTTACTTTTTAGACTGTAAAATCACAACACAATTCAGGAGTTTCTCCTGCCATGTTGTTTTTATCAAATTAAGTTCAAAGTTAAACAACGCACCTCCAGCGAAGAATTTCCCCTGCACAAATTCCTCCACCCCCACATCTTCAGGTCCGACCCCTGCCAAGGTCACGCCTGCTGCGTCCAGCTGAGGTTTGAGTTTGCTGAGCTCCGAGGCCGTCCAGCGGCAAACCTAGTGTCGTTTTTATAATTTTTAAAAAATCTTAATAAATGGCAGATATTGAAAACAAAGTACATACCAGAAATATTCATAATGTTTTGTAAATGTTCAACTGTATGTTCAAATAATTTAGGCACGCAACATCAGCATTATGTGCTACCATGGAGGTAGAAAAATGAGACTCTCTTTTACCTCCATGGTGCTACCGACTGCGCCACACGACCCCACAGGCTAAAGGAAATAAGGAGAATGGGAAATAATGATGAAATACGTATTAACGACTGATAGCGTATAAACGTATACAACAGTAAATGACTGACCTGGCAACCAAACCTCCGCAGGAACAACAGGACACACGCTTGACTTTCCCATACCGACCCCAGAGGAACTGTCTGGAAATAACAACAATTTTGAAGCTTTGTTTACAAAACAAACAGTGGACAGCAACATAATTTCATAAACTCAACTACAAAACAGAAAAACAAAATGAAATCGTTCTAATTAAAACGAAACAATAACGAGTATATACAAGGTGGAGATAATTGATTACCATAAGTTAGATAACTAAGCTTATGTAGATTGGTTTATTATTGTTGCTTCACAACAAACATTTACAGTCTCGCAGTGTAAGTAGTAACTCGCACTGAATTGAACTGGTAAACATTAATATAACAGGTAGTGACATAATAACATATTATATATATTAAGCTTCATTTGAAGTCCGAGCCCAATGGCTATTATGGATCATGTAGAATCAAGAGAGGGAAGTATCTTACATTTGCTAGCAAATGTCTGAACCTTTCAAATTACTTACATTGTAACTGTTATATACAACTTCGTAAGACGATATGATCTCTGTATAACACAGCAATTCTTAGACATCTACAGTCTATTTTTTTCTCAACCCCCTCCCCTACCCCGCCCATAAAATGGAACAGTCTATTAAACAGGTGTGTTTTGCACGTTACCTGTCCTGTCTTCACGTCTTTAACCAGGTTCACTGCGATCTTCTTCACAATCTCAGCGCTCATCTTTCTCAAGATAGAAGGAACTGTCCAGGATAAAGCCAAGACGTCGTCTGGGAAGGTCTCCGGACTGTCTTGTGACTATGCGTCTTGAAAAACTGAGGTTATGCAATATTTCAGCAGTTGTGTAACATTTTTGGACGGAAAGTAGCAGCTGGTTCGCCGACAGCAAGTTGCTTAGCTTTTACTTAGAGTAAAACGAGTCGCGCATTCCAATACCGACATGACCATGCGTGGCTGACACCTGGCGACTTTTTGTTAAAGTGCAGTAACCCTTACTCTTTTCCCAACCCACCGTGCTTCTCCTGCAGTCTCCTCGCGCTAATGTTAGACAAATCAGGTCCTTTCTCTCATGACCCCCTCATCTCATTGACCTAATTTCCATCGAACTTAAATGAATCCAAATAATAATAAATATACCCCAGCACCATTGTACAGAGTATACAGCTACACGATTCAGACAGTTTATTTATTTTATTTATTTATTTAAATTGCCAACAATACAATGCAATACAGTGGAAGCCCTGGCAGCTGAGCTGATGTCGGGCCTCACATTATGAAATACATATCTACTTACATAATCATACACACATCATAACACAATAAAGTAACGAATCACAGAAATTTCTCATACCCTACAATCCATAACCTAGGCTAATGACAGTATACACAAAAAAGTAACAATATAACTCAGTAACAATATAACTCAGACAGTTTGTGTATGATTTAGTCAGTAGTCAAAGTTTAAGCTCTGCATAAGATTTCTGTGAAGAATCTTCTGACGATGCCTTCCCCATGTATAGGCAGCTGTCAACGTGGTACCGAACAGTACCAGCGAAACACCAATAAATGTCACCCGACTGGGAAACTCCGATTGAACAATGTAGTCCAACGCCACTGCAAGAGGTATTGTGAACATCTTGATGGTGACGGTAATCCAAGCCTTTTCCGTTTTTAGTGCGAGTTTTGTTGCAAACGATGCTCCGCAAACACACAGACACAGTCCGATTACGTACCCCATCGTCTGTTGAGACATCGCCCAAAGTGGTGTCTCGAACAGGTACGTAAGCCCAAGCAGCACCACTGCTCCTAACAGGTTGGAGTAGAGAGTCACGGTTAGAACGGAGACCCCCTGTACACCGATGAGAGACCGCGCCATCACCGTGTGTGGACCCTTGCTGAAAGCTGTTGCCAGCGGCAGGAGAATGGATGCCGCCAAATGCAGCACAGGGGAAGTGTTCTCCATAATCATCCCAGTCGCGACAACTATCACCCCAGCTGAACTAAGAACGATTCCGAAACAGTCCACCATGTCCAGAAGTTCCTCGAGAAAAACAAATCCTATACAGGCCGTGACGAAGGGTGTCGATCCATTCATGATACCGAAGGCGATCCCAGGAACAGCGAAGACGAAGGACAAGAACTTCAAGACGGAAACTAGATTGTCTGTGATTGCGGACAGCGTCAACAGTTTAGTTTGTCTCGAGTTTTCGGTGGTCAGTTTTGGTCTCAAGAGGGGCAGGGCGACGAGGGCAACAAGGAGTTGCGCAAGTTTGATGAGGAAGATCAGCTGCAGTGAAGGCACGCCTGCTTGGCGACTCAAGACCAGAAACTGTGCCGCGGAGGCGGAGAGCATGGCCTGCAGTAGAGCGTACAGCACACCAGCACCGGATGTCATACAAGTTTCCATCAACCTGGTTCCTTGTCGATCCGTAGCCTCCTCGTTTTGCATTGCCGTCGCCATGTCTTTGGTTCCTTCGTCGTACTTTTTATCCATGATTTATGATACTTAATAAGTATTGAAAAAGACGGCTGCAACTGACAGTAGGGACATCGTTTGCATGTATATAAGATATACGCACACATTGGTTTATTCCTTGGGGGTATGTTGGCTCTACAGCCGAGGAGCCGGTTTCTGTAATTGTCTTAACTGCGATCGACGCCCTTGTTTGTGAGTTTTTTTTTACTTTGGTATGTTTAGTAAATATATTAGTAATTTAGTAAAAATAATTTTATACTTTCTGTACAATAAATCTTTTTTTTAAGTACATCAGTGTTTTGCTTGTTCACGTCGTCGTCCTTAGAATAATTTTAAATTTAGAATAAAGTAAATAAATAATGGTCATCAGTTAGGACCAAAAGGAAAGATGGTATCCAGGCCTGGTATCCCGTCTTACGTGCGTGATTGGTGTTGTTGGAGTGTTCAGGCAGTTTGTGTCTTTGGGGAATAGCCTTCCCCCGCCCAGTGAAACAGGCTGAACCGGTAGGAGTGTTACGCTAATAACAGATGGTATGCTTCAGGGGATTTGATTTGCCCCAACACGAGGTTCGTGGTAGGGCTAATCAATCTTCCATCGTAAAATACACACCGGGAAACCTATTTGAGGTGGGCGGGAAAGAGCTCATACGGCCTCGAGGAAATCCCGACCCTACCGCGTAAAACTGGATACCAGGCTAAAGGAAATAAGGAGAATAAATAAATGAAATATTAACGACTGATAGCGTATAAACATATACAACAGTAAATGACTGACCTGGCAACCAAACCTCCGCAGGAACAACAGGACGACACGCTTGAATTTCCCATACTGACCCCAGCGGAACTGTCTGGAAATAAAAAGAAGCTTTATTGACAAAACAGCTGCAGTGTACAGCAAAGGTCAACTACAAAATAGAAAACCAAAATAAAATTTCACTAATTGAAACTTAACACGAAACGAGTATATACGAGGTGGAGATAATTGATTACCATAAGTTAGATAACTAAGCTTCACTGAAAATATATACAACTTCGTAAGACTGAATGAATGAATGAATGAATCTTTATTCAACTTGCAATTGCAGACATTACAATTGCCTGAATTGTGTTGAATTTACACAGTACAAAATATTAAAATACTAAGTATTAAAAGCATTAAATATTATTTACATTAAAATACGTTTGTCATAAAATGTTCTGGAATCATTTATACTGGTCGGAGTTGATGCATATATATACATGTAAAATAACTACATAAATACATTGCGACATACTGTCGTGGTAAGTCAGTACAGAAATACATAGTGTCGTCGGATCAATGGGCTAATCCCTGATTTAGGAGATGTGTCAAGTAGGGAATGGGAGAATTTTTGTATCTGGTCGTCCGGCATAATGGAATGTCCAGTTTCTGAGAACTACGTGTTGAACGTCCTGATGTGTGTTCTCTAGAAGGGGGAAGCCAGTCTCTGAAGTCAGGTCGGAGTAGTGACTTGGCGAACTTGGTGCAGATATGGGTCCGACGGTCAGCAAGGGTGGTAAGCTCTAATGTGGAAAGAGCAGAAGTGTAGTCGGTGTATTGAGTTCCGAGAATGATCCTGCACGCTCTTCTTTGAATCCTTTCAAGTTTTGCTGTCTGGACGTTGTTCAGGGATGAGTGCCACGCCACGGTGCGGCGTACTCGAGCGCGGGTCTCACGTACAAGGTGTACACTGCCTTGAGGTCTGGGACAGACACATCAAACCGTTTCAGGCGACGAAGTAGGTACAGCTTCTTGTTAGCCGGAGGTGAGGTACAACCAGTCAGAGTGCTTGCCTTGGTAGCAGACTCTTTGACGCCGATCAGAGATAAAACTACAAATCCACGGTATCAGAGCTGGACGTACTCCGAAGTCTAACATCTGTCAAGATAGAAGGAACTGTTCAGGATAAAGTCAAGACGTCGTCTGGGAAGGTCTCCGGACTGTCTTGTGACTATGCGTCTTGAAAAACTGAGGTTATGCAATATATCAGCAGCTGTGTAACATTTCTGGACGGAAAATAGCAGCTGGTTCGCCGACAGCAAGTTGCTTAGCTTTTACTTCGAGTAAAACGAGTCGCGCATTCCAATGCCGACATGACCATACGTGGCTGACACCTGGCGACTTTTTCTTAAAGTGCAGTAACCCTTACTCTTTTCCCAACCCACCGTGCTTCTCCTGCAGTCTCCTCGGGCTAATGTTAGACACATCAGGTCCTTTCTCTCATGACCCCCTCATCTCATTGACCTAGTTTCCATCGAACTTAAATGAATCCAAATAATAATAAATATACCCCAGCACCATTGTACAGAGTATACAACTACACGATTCAGACAGTTTATTTATTTTATTTATTTATTTAAATTGCCAACAATACAATGCAATACAGTGGAAGCCCTGGCAGCTGAGCTGATGTCGGGCCTCACATTATGAAATACATATCTACTTACATAATCATACACACATCATAACACAATAAAGTAACGAATCACAGAAATTTCTCATACCCTACAATCCATAACATAGGCTAATGACAGTATACACAAAAAAGTAACAATATAACTCAGTAACAATATAACTCAGACAGTTTGTGTATGATTTAGTCAGTAGTCAAAGTTTAAGCTCTGCATAAGATTTCTGTGAAGAATCTTCTGACGATGCCTTCCCCATGTATAGGCAGCTGTCAACGTGGTACCGAACAGTACCAGCGAAACACCAATAAATGTCACCCGACTGGGAAATTCCGATTGAACAATGTAGTCCAATGCCACTGCAATGGGTATTGTGAACATCTTGATGGTGACGGTAATCCAAGCCTTTTCCGTTTTTAGTGCGAGTTTTGTTGCAAACGATGCTCCGCAGACACACAGACACAGTCCGATTACGTACCCCATCGTCTGTTGAGACATCGCCCAAAAGTGGTGTCTCGAACAGGTACGTAAGCCCAAGCAGCACCACTGCTCCTAACAGGTTGGAGTAGAGAGTCACGGTTAGAACGGAGACCCCCTGTACACCGATGAGAGACCGCGCCATAACCGTGTGTGGACCCTTGCTGAAAGCTGTTGCCAGCGGCAGGAGAATGGATGCCGCCAAATGCAGCACCGGGGAAGTGTTCTCCATAATCATTCCAGTCGCGACAACTATCACCCCAGCTGAACTAAGAACGATTCCGAAACAGTCCACCATGTCCAGAATTTCCTCGAGAAAAACAAATCCTATACAGGCAGTAACGAAGGGTGTCGATCCATTCATGATACCGAAGGCGATCCCAGGAACAGCGAAGACGAAGGACAAGAACTTCAAGACGGAAACTAGATTGTCTGTGATTGCGGACAGCGACAACAGTAGAGTTTGTCTCCAGTCTTCAGTGGTCAGTTTTGGTCTCAAGAGGGGCAGGGCGACGAGGACAACAAGGAGTTGCGCAAGTTTGATGAGGAAGATCAGCTGCAGTGAAGGCACGCCTGCTTGGCGACTCAAGACCAGAAACTGTGCCGCGGAGGCGGAGAGCATGGCCTGCAGTAGAGCGTACAGCACACCAGCACCGGATGTCATACAAGTTTCCATCAACCTGGTTCCTTCTCGATCCGTAGCCTCCTCGTTTTGCATTGCCGTCGCCATGTCTTTGGTTTCTTCGTCGTCCTTTTTATCGATGGATTATTTCTGATCTACTGTCGTACTGAGAACTAGAACAGACAACCTCTTGCGAGCTGACGTGGCATTTAAGTATGACGTGATGACATATCAGCTAGTAGTGAACGGATGTCATACAAGTTTCCATCAACCTGGTTCCTTGTCGATCCGTAGCCTTCTCGTTTTGCATTGCCGTCGCCATGTCTTTGGTTACTGTCGTCGTCTCTTCATCCGTGATTTATGATAAATAATAAGTATTGAGGAAGACGGCTGCAACTGACAGCAGGGACATCATCTGCATGTATATAAGATTTACGCACACATTGGTTTATTCCTTGGGGGTATGTTGGCTCTACAGCCGAGGAGCCGGTTTCTGTATTGTCTTAACTGCGATCGACGCCCTTGTTTGTGAGGTTTTTTTTACTTTCTTTATTGGTATGTTTAAGCACTGCATAATTTAGTAAAAATAATTGTATACTTTCTGTACAATAAATCTTTTTCTTGAAGTACATCAGTGTTTTGCTTGTCCACGTGTGTACTGTACGTTGTGTGCATGTTGTAGTTAAGAAATGAAGCGTGATTGCGATCGTACCGAAACGAGCTTAGGGCAAGAGGAACGGGGGTCGCGGAAGTGATCAAAAAGTTGCGATGATGAAATTTTATCGTTGGAGTTGTGACTCCTAAATTCGCTATGACTAAGTGACAGTTATCAAATCAAGACTTACAGTATTTCGTGTACCTACAAAAGAGAAAAGAGTGTAAAGAAAGAATATATTTCCATAGTTTGAAACTTCCCTCGTTAAGTAGGGCATGGCAAATTGTTTCTCTGTGTGTGTGGCGGTGTTAGCCCCGGGCTAGTGCTATTCAACGCCAAACAAAAGAAAATGATGGACCTTATAAAATGCATAAGAAGACGTCAAAAATAATCCGACGCGTAGTCCCCTGCTTGGAGAGGATTCTGCGACTAACAGACGAAAGGTAAACCTTTCAATTATAAGTATCTGTATATATGGCAATCTTTTGAGCTGGAAGGGTGCCTGCTGCTCTCCAAGCAGAGGTTGGTGGGTGGATTGTGACCTTTTTGATATGCCCCGTTTTTTTTGGTAGGGGTAGCGACAAAAAAATGGCATATTAAAAAGGTCACAATCTTCCCCACCAACCTCTGCTTGGACAGTACATGCTACTACGTGGCAATGGGGGATTACTGCTATAGTTGGCAGGAAGGATTAATCTGAAGAAAGACCAGGTAGCCTTTGATTGGTGGTTTGGAAAGGAAGTGTATTTCTTGAAAAGTGAGGTTATGCGCGGTAACAAGGGATTTAGCCAGCTGTACTTTAGTGATAGCTATGGAAGTAGGTTGTCCTTGTATTCTGACGACTTGTATCCGCCTGCGCACTACTTTGGATGCACGATGCAGGTTCGCTATGGTATGCACGGTAAAAGGACTTGCTTTTTGGTGATACGATACTTCACTGTGCCCGGAGGCGACGTTGTTTGGCAGCATTGTTAGAGGTAGTTTATCAGGGTGTAGAAGGGACAGTATCAAAGGTTAAGACTTATATATCTGTACTTCCGTAAGGCCACAGCAAGTAAAGTTTATGGATGACATCCTCCGCAGACTCCATGTATAATGCGATAGGGCGAAAAAAAACAAGGCGACCCAAAAAAACATGATTCCTACATTTTAAAATTTTGACACCATAAACCTGATCAAACAAGAAATGATACCCACATTGTTTTCGGTAGCGCTAGTGTATGTATCTGTACATGTGTGTCTGTAAACATAGCATTAACTCGAGAAGGCTTAGAGGGATTGTCTTGATATTTGGTATGAAGATAGGTCTCGATGAGACCTAGAAATGATTAGATTCTGGGTCCTCTGTCGGCTTGGTATGGTACTGCAGCGGATATCTCATGATCTGGGCATGGTAGGGTCTTGACTCTTGTGCTTGGGACGAAGTGAAGTAGGTAAGTAAGTTTCGCCCCCTAGAATCTTGTTCTGGAACTGCAATAGCTTCTGTGTTGAGAAATATGTGTAGAAGGATAGCTTAAGTGGTATAATTCAATGACAATAATGCCAATAGGGATCTAATTTGTTTTCTAATGAGGTACACATATATACAATTCACACGCGCGTCGACCGCTCTGTGTTAGAACAAACGTCCTTGGCCTACGTGTAACGTTAGATACCTTAAAATCAGAGCAAAAATCGTCTCTTTGTAATGTCTACAAAAGACCGGGACATAGAACTGACGTCAGAGGTAACACTGTTTACCTGTAAGTAGTATTCTTTTAGAGTAAAACACACAGGGTTTTTATCCAACTACACAATACTAAGCTTGCCACATCACAAGGTATGAATAGTAAGAGACTTCAGTGCTGGCCGAGTCCTATGTTACGTCCCATAGTAGAAGTCCCGACTGGTTGGTGAGCTGTTGTGAGAATTTGCTGTCCATTTTCAGATTTTCCAGCCGTTTTTCTGGAACGTGTATTGCCTGGAGTGTTGAGATGGGACGTCCGGCGGTGTCTGTGGTGTCTGGCTGCCTCGCCGTCAGTATTTTCATGACCCTGGGACAGATTTGGAGGATAGGTCTGCTGTCGGATGGTCAGTTCGGATGGCAGACTGTGACGACACCTCCGCCTGCGACCGGCAAACAACAACTTGTACTGTCTGCTGCTGGAAGGTACTTTTTGTGTCTTTATAATTTCATTCCACTTATGTTCCCAGTTTCATACACACACACACACACACACACACACACACACACACACACACACACACACACACACACACACACTACACACACACACACACACACACACACACACACACACTCACACACACACACACACACACACACACCGTGACACACACACCGTGACACACACAGAACAAATTAATTACATTGACGTAAAATATATAGCGTAAAACCTGTGTTCAGTACAATTAAGACTGAATACAATTATATATACTCCTCTTTTTGAATAGATCTAACATACCCTTTTGTGTGTTTTTGACAATTGTAGACTCGTTGTTGCACGATTTTAAAACTAATAATTCAAGAAATACTGTATTTGGTTAGTATAAAATTAATCCCGCCGAATGGTCACATATGTATATACTGTGCAGATATATCACGATTGAAGTCTGTAAATTGTTAAGATAATTGCTTCAAAGACGGTCAGAACTATTTTTTAATTTACATGATCGGAGTCTATTGACAAAGACTCTTATTGGGACCTCTACCGGTAGAATCGCCAACTCTACAGATCAGAGTCTGTATATATCTATTATTTTTCTCATTTTACCCCATAGATTTACCCAGAGTCGTGCGGTGCTAAACAGTACTTACGATTCCAACACTAAGACGTTTTACGGTAGCGCCGGTGCGGTGGTGAACAACAGCGACATTATGAAGTTGTACAGTAACTCCCGAGTCCTGCACCCTCCAGCGACAATACTACAACTACTGAATAACATCCAGGCAGTCAGGTGGATGTTTAACGACAGTGCTATTCATAATCTCAGGTAGAATAACCTTACTAAGGCCGCACCAATTTAATTTGTTGGTTCTCGGATTTTTTCAGAAAAATATGAAGCGACAGGGCGAAAAAAAATAAAAACAGGTCTAGGCATCCTATTATAGGCTTAAATGCTACAAAATGAGCCATGAAGTCAACACAAAAGGCTGGGTTAAAATTCAAACATTGAATTTTTGAACTTTTAATCAAACCACTGCAATGATAGATGGGAAAACTGTAACAACTAGGAAGAAAAGGACTTTCCTCAACTGTTGGGGGGCAAAACATAAGCATTTTTCAGTTGATTCAGGACCAGAATCAATTTTTTTTTTTTGCAAATCAGAAAAAAACGAAGAGGCGAATCCGAGAA